AAATCGCGATTTCTAGGTCCTAATTTAGCTGTCATAGCGAAATAGTAATGTCAATTTGTATATAAAAGTGGTTGTGAATTTAATTTACTAAATTGGTCGTTTTTATCATGTTTTAATTATTAATAATTATAATTATTATTAATTTTGTTTTTAGATTAAAACATACAATAGTTCCCGGAAACGCTTTGTTACCGATATTTGATTTTTTAATATAACTAAATATACATATTATAGGTATGTATTCTGTAGATTACATACCTATAATATGTATATTCATTAAAAAATCAAATATCGGTAACAACGTTTCCGGAAACCATTGTATGTTTAAGGAGTAAATTTTAATCAAAAAACAAAATTTACTTGAATAAATCGAAAATCGCATGGTAAAAGTCAATTACTTTTGTTTTTCTGTATTCGTGTGAATGGGTTTTAACAAAACCAATTCAATAAAACTTTACTGGTGAATTGGAATGAAGTAAGATATTATCAGGTTTTTGATAGAAAAAAATTAGGGGCGCCCCTGTGTAATTAATTTTAATCTCTTTTTCTATGATGTAAAACCCGCATCAAATAATTAAAACTAAATTAAATCTCGAATTTTTTAACAATTTTTGGGTCTTTAATAATTTTTATAAATATTTTTTTCTGATTATTATTATTATTATTATTATGATTATTTTTATTAAAAAAAAAACAAAAAAAAATATTTCTATTCAATTTTTTTTTAAACGTTAGTAAAATAACACTTTTGTGACATTTTCCATAAAGCAAAGAAAAGTTTTACTTCATTGCCATGGCAGTAAAAGTAAAGTCCGCTAAAGATAATACCAAAAGTGGTTTTAAGTAAATTAGATAAAAGCAAAATTTTTGTGTGGACAAGAAATAAACAATTATTAATTGTCTCAACTCCAAAACTAAAGCGTCGCACACTGGTCCGAATCGACTTATTCTCTGGCCAAAACTCGAAAAGTGAATGTAATAATGTGAAAATTTGTATTTTAGGGTTATTGGGGTCGCTGATTACGAAATTGATATCAAAATTATTAAATTCAAAATGGCGGACTAAAAATGGCGGACTTTTTTGACAAATAATTGGTTAATCGTCATGAAAATGTTAATTTTTAGGTTTCTGGGGTCGCTTATCACAAAGGGGGTAGCGGGTTAAGGGGGGTCTGGCGGCCCCCACCGAATCTGGTAAAATCGTTCCAAAAATCTTGAAGAGGGTCGAAAAACAAGCAGTATAAGCTTTTTACCGACATTACAACCCCAAACGAAAACACAGTAATGGCGAAAAATATGATTTTTTGTGATTTTTATTTTTTTCAACCAGTTTAATTTATTTTTAAATGGTTTAAACGCAATTAAAAATTTGTTTTGAATGTATGGTAGTCCCCTGAATTTTTTCAGATTTTTTGGTCAAGTAAAAACATGTGAATTTTAGGTTTAAATTCGAAAAAATCGTGAAAAACGCGTCATTTTCAAGATTCAACCCTCTAATTTTTAGGGTTGTTTTCATTTTCCCGAGGGGTGCTGTATAGTATAGATAGCGGCAATCGTCCTCTTTTGAATGCAGGCAACTGGACTTAATTTGGTCAATTCTGGTGAGCGGGGCAATTTTTTGAAAAAAACTCGAATTTTCAACTTTCGGTAAATTACGGCGCGTACTTGGTATAATGCGTCTTTGCTATAAAAAATACATCTCTATAGAGGTTTTTGAGGTCGCTGATCACGAATTTGATGCCAAAAAATTTTTTTGACAACAAAGATATTTGTCGCGAATTATTCGTCCAGCACAGATTCTCACAAATATTTCTCTGTTCAAAGCGTTGAACATGTTATTGAAGAAGATAGTGACGAGGATTAAAACTGTAAAATTGTTAACTTAGCTCTGTAAAAAAGAATTATGCTATTTTATATTACTGTGTGACTATTACGTAAGCTTGAATAAAATATGATTTATACCAGAAAATTTAATTTCATTGATTATATTAGTTGAACACGATATTAAAATTGTTTAAATGCTGTGATTCAATGATATTTTTTACATTATCAAACCTGTGTTAATAAATATTTATGGGTGAATTTGTTGTCAAAAAATTTTCAACTTCGTGATCAGCGACCTCAAAAACCCCTATAGAGATGTATTTTTTATAGCAAAGACGCATTATACCAAGTACGCGCCGTAATTAACCGAAAGTTGAAAATTCGAGTTTTTTTCAAAAAATTGCCCCGCTCACCAGAATTGACCAAATTGAGTCCAGTTGCCTGCATTCAAAAGAGGACGATTGCCGCTATCTATACTATACAGCACCCCTCGGGAAAATGAAAACAACCCTAAAAATTAGAGGGTTGAATCTTGAAAATGACGCGTTTTTTACGATTTTTTCGCATTTAAACCTAAAATTCACATGTTTTTACTTGACCAAAAAATCTGAAAAAATTCAGGGGACTACCATACATCCAAAACAAATTTTTAATTGCGTTTAAACCATTTAAAAATAAATTAAACTGGTTGAAAAAAATAAAAATCACAAAAAATCATATTTTTCGCCATTACTGTGTTTTCGTTTGGGGTTGTAATGTCGGTAAAAAGCTTATACTGCTTGTTTTTCGACCCTCTTCAAGATTTTTGGAACGATTTTACCAGATTCGGTGGGGGCCGCCAGACCCCCCTTAACCCGCTACCCCCTTTGATATCAAAATTATTAAATTCAAAATGCGCACCAAAAATGGCGGACTTTTAAAAAAAATATTTAGTTAATTCTCCTAAAAAATGTTATTTTTTAGGTTTTTGGGGTCGCTCATCACGAATTTAATATTAAAATTATTAAATTCAAAATGGCGGACCAGAAATGGCGGACTTTTTTGAAAAATAATTAGTTAATTGTCCTGAAAATGTTAATTTTTGTTTTTGGGGTCGCTCATCACGAATTTAATATTAAAATTATTAAATTTAAAATGGCGGGCCAAAATGGCGGATTTTTTTAAAATAATTAATTAATCGTCCTGAAAATGTTAATTTTTAGGTTTGTGGGATCGTTACTCATGAATTTAAAATCAAAATTAGTAAATTTAAAATGGTGGACCAAAAATGGCGGATTTAAAAAAAATTGTTAATCGTCCTGAAATTTTTAATTTTTGCAGTCGCTAATCATGAATTTGATATCAAAATTATTTAATACAAACCAAAAAATGGATTTTTTTTTAATTATTAATTTATTGTGAGTATTAGGTTCGGCCTAATTCGGTTGTAAGGTTATTAATTTAGTATTATTGTAATAATTGTCAAATGGGAAATGAAAAAATAAAATAGACTTGCGTACAAAATTTCAATGTTTATTAAAGTAAAATTATACTATTACATTAAAAGTCATAGTCATCAATGTCTATTTCTTCAGCTGCACTTTCTTTAATAAGTTCAAGGAGCTTAATGACAGCAGGATGCAATGATTCATTACCTTTCACCTTTAATTTTTGTAAGCATATAATAAGCGGGTCCGAGGTTACAAGGAGCCGACAAAAAACGTCCGACATTGACTTTTCTCGAGAAATAATTTTTTCTGTATATTTGTTATCCTATTATAAAATCTTAAAAAATATATTTACTAAGCATCACTGCGTTTAACCGCGACTACTGTCTCAAATCCGGGCACGAACGTGTATATTATTGTTTTATTAATTTTCGCGCAAGTGGCTGCAGCCAATTTTTTAAGAACCTTATAATAGACACTTCAATGAACGTTTCCCCGTAAAAAACGTCTTTCGCAAATGCCCACATTTTAACTTATTCCAAGTATAAAAACGAAAAAATCGAAAAAAATTTAAAATCAGGCCATTATGTTAGTATAAATTTTATCAACAAATATTTTTTTTTCAAAAATGTAATTTTATAAAATTATTGTACATACCTTCAGAAACATTTTCCATGTTGAACTGTTAAAATCGAACAAGTCGTTAACGAAATAATAGCACTTTTGTTGCACAATCAAAATCAACACAATAACTGTTTCCAAGCAATTGCAAAAAAGGGTTAAATAAAACTGCCCTAGGGATCAGGTAGGGCGATTTTATACCTAAACTCTTTGGTTTTGAAATACTTCAAACATTTCTCTACCTGTATGAATTAAAATAATTTCATAATTAATAACTTTATTTTTGGGGTTTTGGCCAAGGTCAAGCACGATTCGGACCAGTGTGCGTCGGTGAAAAGTAATCAATGATTAAAATAGTACTGATTTTGTCATTGTATAGTTTGACTATATTGTCAAAGATTTCAGTTCAGTAAAACATTTTTTCTACTCCTATTACCCTCCTATGACCGTTCTAATATCACTTTTTAATGTGGAATGACACATAATCCTTAAAGTATTACAGAATGAATAATTTTATCATCGAATGACGGAATAAACACTGGTAGCGACATCTCTGTGATTAATATCTAACAAATAATTCTAATCTAACCAATTAAATTATTTTTCTATGGTATTTTTTGGAAACGTAGAAAAAGTATAGTCTGAAACGCTTTTGTAATTGCATATTCCGCTCTCGTGAAACCGTGAAACTCGCCTTCGGCTCGTGTGACAAACTTTACACTCGAGCGGAATACGCCGTATTCCAAACTTGTGACAGAATATACTATTCTGAATAATTTCTGACGGTTCTTTCGCACCAATTTTAAATTTTTACCCATCATGAAGTTTTTGTCTGATATTAATAATTCTGCAAGAAGTCAATTTTTAGTAATCAATTAACCGAAAGAAAATACTTCACTTCACAAATCAACAAAAAATCACCAGCAATAAATTTTTCTTCTATTTTTATAGACAATTTTTATAACACAGTTAATTCAAAAAAAAATATTTTTTAATTCTTATTTTAAATATTTTATTTTAAAATTAGTCATTTTAACACTGATTGGTGCTCTGAAGAAATTTGTTTTTTTAACCCATATTTTTTAAGTTTAAAAAAAATAAAAATTTAATTTATTTTCTATTTTTTAGGAATGGTACAAACATCTGCAACAAATAGCACCAAATGCCCCAGGGGATAAATTGGACAGAATATTATCATGTGCCTTTGCACTTTTAACCAAGGAAAGTTTGGCCTTGGGTTTGCCTGATTTTCCTATATATAATCTGGAAATTGCTGCAAAGATACTGGTAAATAAATATAAAATATTTATTAATTATTTTTGTCATTAAGTAATAGTGTTACATGCAGGCCCGTTCCTGGCGAGCGTGCAGTGCGTGCACGCACGCAGGCGCAACATTTTGGGGGCGCAAAATCAAAGAGTCAATCAGTACTTTTTTTCTTTTTGGAAAATAGTTTCATGCAAAATAATTAAAAATAAAACCCCTCGACCGCTACGCGGTGAGTTTAGTTTAGCCGATTAAATTCATAGTTCTCGTGATATAATATATGAATATTTTTTGTGATTTTGTTTGTTTGGTAATTATTTTTATACCTACTTAATTTACGCGGTTTGTTTAAATTTTCAATTAGGTACATATTACTTAATTTACGCGGTTAATTTAAATTTTCAATTAGATATTACCAGTTTTTCGCAAAATATATATTTTTTAAATTTAAGGGCTTAAAATTAAAATAATGGCGCACCAACGAATGCTGCACGTAGGCGCCAGACACCCCAGGAACGGTATGGTTACATGTGGGGCAAAACACCTCAAGTGTTCCCACCTAAAAATGATGTTTTCTCCGATTTTAACAAAACTTTGCCAAATCATTGTCCTATTGGACTACCTTAATTTTCCAAATGGGGGGCAAAAAGGATTAGCGGGTTGCAGAGATACAGGGGCCTGAAAATTTATTTTTTTTCTCGTGCGCTTAAAAGACGTCGAAATATTCATGTATATAATAATTTTTTTTTTAAATTGATAATCAACATATCTTATAGCATTTTTTCCACGCTTTACGATAAAAATGGTCTCGAAAGCGAGAAAAAATTTTTTGGTTATAAAAAAACGATTTTAAAAATATATTTGTTTTTTTCTCGAAATGCGACCCATTTGATTTTTTTAAAATTAATATCAAATAAAGCTTGTTCAATTCCCTAAATTTTGATGTAATATGAAGATGGGATCCCAAGAATAAGTCTAAAAAAATAAGGGTTGAAGCGCGTAGGGACCGTGCGGCGAGCAGCTACTATAGTAGGTATACCTATTGCAGCGGTGCTCGGTCAACTACTTAGTTGATTAATTGGAGGGTCAATACAACTTTTAAAATTATTTTTATATAGAAATAAATGTATTTTTCGATGGGTTAAAGTCAAAACAGCACAAGCGCCAAATTTTAATTTTTTTTAGAAGAAGGTCGATAGAGAATTTACATGTACTTCTAAAAAATTTAAAAATTTTGGCGCCTGTGTCGTTTTGCCTTAAACTCATCGATTTTATTGCAATAGTTCAAATTAATAGCAATTAAAACCCATGTTTTGGTTTTTGTAGTCGAAAAAGAAAAATGTAGAAAGTAATAAGTTGCTCTTACTCTGAATAAATTACACGTGCACGTAAATGTAAATAAGTTCTACTATTTAATGCAATTGCAAGTGTCTCACAATAATAATAAACATTTTTCATGTAAACTTTTTATTGAACATTTTACCTATTTTTTATTTTTGGGAAAAATATTATATTTGTTAGCAAACGATATTTTTTTTAAGTACAAAATTCCTTTTCCGTTAGGAACAAATGAGTGATATTTCTGTGTCCCAGGAATTGATTTTGCAGAATCAAATCGCTTTTTAAGAATTTCTGCTGTTTTCATATTGATTTTTTTCAGGACTGAAAAATACTTTTGTTTCTGACAAACTTTTTTTAGCCCATTCATACAAATCATTGGCACTTAAAATTGGATTTTTTGATGTTGCCTGCAAACTTGCGCGGGCAGCGAGTCTTTTTAAATTCCCGCCAATGCCATCACAGGGGCCTTTACCGTGTGCTGTTGCATGAAAGTGCCACTCGGCTAAAATACCAAAATCAGTTTCATGTTGCATAAGGTTTTTAAAATTGTACTTGTTTTTGAAATGTTGTGCGGCGCCATCAGTAAAATAAATACATTTTTTAGGTATAAAATTTTGTTTTAAATAGTTTATCAAAATTTTCTGGAATTCATAAACTGCGACAGTGTCATGCTTTAGGCAATCCGATAAAATTGCTGCACTAAAATTATGAAGTTTTTCATTTTCCTTGTAATAAATGACGGTTGTGAAAATCGTAACTTGGTCATTATTCCAATGAAATGACTGAGCCGCATTTTGTACTACAAATGCGTAATTTTCAGCGAAGTCGCACAATACTAGAAATTCCCCAGTTTGTAAATTATTTTTCAAGTGTTCCAAGAAAGAAGACTGTTGTCTAGCTACGTAAGAGTGAGGTTTTAATTTCAATAAACGTTCACATTAATCATCCACAAAATCATCCGAATCTGATATTTCAGTACGTAGAGTACTTCTGTCAGTTTGTTGCCATGATTGAAACTCAATTTTTTCAATAAAATTGTCTTCAAAAAGAGATTTCAAAAACTTTTGAAGTTCGTTAATACCAGGACACTTTTTACATTCATTTAGGTAGCATTCTGATTTAGGATTATCACACTGAATAATTTTGAAAATGTCTTGATACTTAGTAAAATGAAAGTCAGTTTCCCGAGTTAATTCGTCAAAACCAACAGAATCGAACATTAAAATAACATTTTCATGGTGTACACATACACATACAGTATGAGTGCCACTGGCTCCAGCCAGGACGCAATTACGAGGTCGGACCTGTGAAAATTTTGACAAGCCTATTCGCACATTCGGATATTTTAATTGAAAATTAGAATACAATTCAGCAAGATTGCACAAAACCAATCGTTTTTGGACGTGTTCCCGGGATCCATCGTCTTTTCTTATTGAAACATAATCTTTCATACCTGGCATCATACGGCTGTTTTCGTCATGAGTGTAAAAAGATATTACCAAATTTTTTGTTTGCTCTACCCTTTTTGGGATCTGGTTTGGACAAAATGCCATATCTTTCGACTAAATTTTTAGCTTTTCGGGCCTGACGCTCAGAAGCACCGAATTCTAGAGCCAGTCTTCTACGACCCCACGACTTCGGTGCAAGTGTCAAGAGTTGTACCTTTTCTGAATTAACTGAAGAATTTTGAAATTTGGTCTTAATTTGATTTAAAACTTCTAATGCCGATCTATGCTCTTTGTCATTAAACATTTTTTCTTCTTTTCTGTCCATGACTGTTAAAGGGGAATTTGAAAGTTCATTATTCTCGGGGAGGTTTTCTTCAGAATAATGGTCTTCTTCACCATCGACCTGTTGAAATTATGGTATAAATAATAATAGGTAGTTAACTGTTGTCTCTATTCGTTTCAGATAGTTCCAGAAAAAAAGGTAAAATTTAATAAAAATCATAAGTTCAGTGCAGTTAAAATTAATTACTTGATTATAATTCTATAGAATGTTTAAGCATGTTTTAAAGTTATACTTAGTCATTATATTTATCTTAAGTAGTGAATTATTATCCCTTTCCATTGGCATGTTGTTCATACTTTTTCTACAAGACGTACATATTTTTGCATCAGCTGGTACGTTCAAAAAATTTTTCTGTAGGGCCGATGAAATATTTATTAGATCTTGTTTTATCTTGTGGTTTGTTTTTTTTAATGGATTAAAGCAGCGATCTCCTAAACTTCTTCTATCCATCGTATATTAGAAAAGATTGATTTTTTAACTAAAGAAAATATAAAAAAGACTACTTAGTTAAACTTTCAATTGACCCACCAAATCAGTCCATATTTTGAAATAAAACTTTAAAATAAGTGAATATTATTTTAAACTGAACAAAAAACTCTTTAAAATATCGTTTTTACACAAAAACATACATTGAATTAAGAAAAAACAGCAAAAACCGATGAACTAAAACCGCAGAATATTATTCAGTTTTGACATATGTCAAATAATATTTCTATGCCCAGCATAAATAAAAAATCATAGCATACCTAATTTACAAGCAACCAATGAAACTATTTTTGTTAGTTTACCAAAACCCCTAGTTACAAGTTGTAACTTTCAACATTGCAAAAACAAGTATACATAACTTTAAAAACCTTATGCAACATGAAACTGATTTTGGTATTTCAGCCGAGTAGCACTTTCATGCAACAGCACACGGTAAAGGCCCCTGTGATGGCATTGGTGGGAATTTAAAAAGATTCGCTGCCCCCGCAAATTTGCAGGCAACATCAAAAAATCCAATTCTAAGTGCCAATGATTTGTATGAATGGGCTAAAAAAAGTTTGCAAGAAACAATAGTACATTCTGTATAAGTTTGGAATACAGCATATTCGGCTCGTGTGACGGTTTTACGAGAGTGGAATATGCTATTCCAAACTTGTTACGGTTTTATGAGAGTGGAATATGCTATTCCAAACTTGTTACAGACCAATGCTATACGATATGTTGATTATCAATTTAAAAAAAAATATTATATACATGAATATTTTAACGTCTTTTAAGCGCACGAGAAAAAAAATAAATTTTCAGGCCCCTGTATCTCTGCAACCCGCTAATCCTTTTTGCCCCCCATTTGGAAAATTAAGGTAGTCCAATAGGACAATGATTTGGCAAAGTTTTGTTAAAATCGGAGAAAACATCATTTTTAGGTGGGAACACTTGAGGTGTTTTGCCCCATGTATGCGACAGTAAATTTTAAAAATTGATACATTAATACATTTGGTGTACTTGAGTACTTTTTTGTACTAGAGTACGTTTATAATATCAAAATTTAAACTAAACCCAAAGTTAAACTACCTATAAATATTTTTTTATTTAAGTATATTAATGTTTGTTTATAGTAACCAAAACACGATGACATCATTCTCAGTTAAAAAAAGAACTTTGTACTTTTGTGGATAAGCACCAATTGGTACTTTGGTACATTTTATTCAAAGTACTTTACTATTTTACTTCATGCTTCTTTTGCAATTTACTTGGAATCTGATCTGAATGAAATAAAACACGTTCAAAATTACATGTTTTTGAACAAGATGAATTGCACAATAGTTACAAATATCTTACTTTTAGGAGCAAAACCCTTCCCTTACTCCTTACGAAATAATCTACCGACTTTACCCATACAAAACTTTCATGAAAGATGGTGTAAACCATTTAGAAAACTTGCTGCAAAAATTTGACGTCATTCCTCCAAAAGATGGCTTACTGAGCAACATGACCAACAAAATCAGTGCCTTGCTAAAAACCCCGCCTAAAGAAAAACAGGATTACATCGAAACCAATTACCAAAACGTTCTTCTAAACGAAATGCTGTCAACTGCTAGTGTAGCAGATTTTTGCCTGGTAGGGGCAAGCGGTTGCGGAAAAACTATGTTGGTAAATAAATTGGGCGAAATTTTGGGTAAACAAACCGAAAACATCGTTTTGTACCAAGATATGACTTCCAGAGATTTAATCCAACAAAGAACAACGCTGGATAATGGGGATACAGTTTGGACTTTTTCACCGCTGATCAACGCTGCTTTGGAGGGAAAAATTGCCGTTTTGGATGGAATAAATAGAATACATCCTAGTACACTATCAGTACTTCATAGGTAAGATTTAATTCATTTTAACTATAAAAATACTTTGTTTCCATGTCTACTTAGGTTTCAAGAATGTATTCTCAGTGTTTTGTTTTGCATCATTATAATGAATAATTTCCAGCTTAGCAAGCTCAATTTTAACTATAAGTTAAAAGTTTTAATTAATTTTTTTAGACTAGTTCACGATAGAGAACTTCAGTTACACGATGGGAAAAGACTCATGGGCAGTGCGCAATACAACGCCTTGCAAAAAGAAATGGGCCTCTCAAGAATGGAGCTAACGGAAAGAGGCATTCTTGAAATAAGTCCAGATTTCAGGATGGTCGCCATAGGAGAACCTCCTTCCGCTCAGTCCGTTACCGGAAACTGGATGTCGCCGGAAGTCCTAAGTTTGTTTGTCTTCCACGAAATGAGGATGCTAAGCAAGCAAGAGGAAATGAACATTATAACTTCTTTGGTAAATATTTTTTGTTTGCTTTAAGGTGGTACTGGAGCAAGGTTTAGTTTTTACTGGAACCAGTAAGATCAAAATTATAATAAATTAATTTTGTTTGTTTTTTATTAGTCATACGAGGTTTTCAAAAAATTTGATTTTTGTTCAACAGTAAAGTACCTTTATTTTTGACAATATCGAAAATTATTGGAAAGAAAGGATGTTTAGAATTAAAAATAACTTTCAAATATTCAATATTTTAAAAGTTTATCAGTGTTAAATAAAATTTGAGAGGTAATTGTTTTAATAGCGGTAGATTTTTACATAAAGGTTGAGGTTTGGACCATGTACCGACCTTTCATTTATATAAAGTTATATTACAGTATAAATACCGTAACAACCGTACGAATGGCAACACTGCTTCATTTACATTGATTACCAAATTATAACTACCCAAGTACTAAATATATTTAAATTTTATATTTTCCTGGAACAAGCAACCGCTGCTTGCCAAGCGCGCTAGAATTGCACAACGGGGCAACTTTGCAGATGCATTTATAAATGGTTTTAACAAATGTCGTTGCTAATTTAGTTAGCAACAACTTTCTCATTTAAATATTTAAATATGCCACGTTTTTTAAGAAACAGTCTACAACCTTTTTATTTTTTAATTTTTCTCGTGAAATGAGGAACAGCGTTTTTTTTAACAGAAGCAAACCCATAAAAACAGCATTTGTTAAAATTTAGGGTCATGAAACTTTGTCGAAATTTGACTTGGCTTTTTATTATCGAATCAGCTACCAACTGCATGCAAATTTCATATGGATATTATACAAGGTGTTCCGAAATTTTGAGTTTCAAATTTTAAAAAACGTTTAAAAAAAACTTTTTTTAAAAAATTATTTAAAAAAACGCTCATAACGTTCAAACCGTTTGTTTTTTTGTTTTTTATGAAAAAAATTAACATACATTTTTTTGACATAGTGTCTTAAAGTATAGTTGCATGCAAACTACAAGGTTACTTGGCAAGGTTACTTCCCAACACAAGAAAAATGTGATACACTGCCCGTCAAAATTAACGCATAATAAGTAAAAAAATTCTAACTCTAAAACGCCTTTATGAAATTTTGTATAAAAATACTTTAACTTATATCTCAGTTTACGTGTTCGATGGTCTTTCGAGAAAATATTTTTAAAGCCCTTTTATTTAATAATAAAAAAACGTTCAAAAAATAACTTTTAGGGAATTTTTTTTAGGTAAATAAAAAATATGCTTTTAAAGACCGTATTTTTATTAGTATACCCTGAAAATTTTGTACAACTTAAACGAACAGTAACGAAGATACAGCGCTTCAAAGTCGGTAAAAATTACCCCTTTTTGATTATTTTGCTGAAAAGTGGTCATTTTTGACGACTTTGAAGCGCTGTATTTTCGTTACTGTTCGTTTGATTTGTACAACATTTTTAGGGTATACTAACAAAAATGCGGTCTTTCACAGCATATTTTTTATTTACCTACTTCAAAAAAATTCCCTATAAAAGTTTTTTTCGAGCGTTTTTTATTATTAAATAAAAGGGCTTTAAGGATATTTTCTCGAAAAACCCTTGAACACGTAAACTAAGATATAAGTTAAAGTATTTTTATTCAAAATTTTATAAAGATTGGTAAAGGCGTTTTAGAGTTGGATTTTTTTACTTGTTATGAGTTAATTTTGACGCGCAGTGTATTTCTATTAGAAATCGTCGTTTGACACCTTATCCGCACAGTTTTAATTTTTAGTACTGTTAACTTTTGGAAAATACGTGATTTTGTGCTTACGTTCCCAGCAAAACAATGTTTTCTTCCACGAGATCAATTTAAAACGCACGACTAACTATAGCGTCTTCTGCCGTCATCTCCTGCAACTACTTCCGGGGAATACCCTTTTCTTAGGAATAGGTTTAATAAAAAACAAAATTTCTGAACAAAAAAAAAACCGCTTTGTTTTTTTCTAAAAAAAAACATTAAAAAAGAACACAAAGTAAAAATTTGATGGTAATAACAATGTTTTGATGAATTGAAGTTTTATATTTTTGAAACACTGTCAGAAAATGCTACATAGTCCAGTCATCTAGGCATTTCACCTCGGAATCTAACAGAATAAGCTGAATTTTTGTACAAACCTTTATTTTAGCATTGCAAATGTTGTCTCAAAAGTCACATATGCCAACGTGTGAGCGGCCTTAGATATTCAAGGTCAAAGGTCGCAAAAATCAATTTTTTGAGAATATCTCCTTTTCTCTGCCACCTATCATATTTGCATTTATTATACAAGTTGTAGAGAATAAAATTCTCTACAAATTTTGTTTACTAAATTTTTTTATACGTCTAATAGTTTTTGAGATAGAGGGCGCAGAGAGTGGAGTGCTCAGCCATACGTACCTTTAGCCCAAGGTAAATCATGAATCCCAATCTATTATACCGTTTTTTTAATTAATTATTTATTAAATATAAACAAAATTTGTAGAGAATTTTATTCTCTACAACTTTTATAATAAATGCAAATACGATAGAAGGCATACAAAACGAGATATATTTAAAAAACTGATTTTTGCGACCTTTGACCTTGAATATCTAAGGTCGCTCACACGTTGGCATATGTGACTTTTGAGACAACATTTGTAATGCTAAAATAAAGGTTTTCACAAAAATTCAGCTTATTCCGTTAGATTCCGAGGTTGATCCCTTTTTTTGACTAAGATGACTGTACTAACAGTTTATTTGTTCCTACGCAAACATTTCTTAAAAATTTAAAAAAAATTTTTACTTGTTTTAGCACGGCCCCATGTCAAAAAATTTGCACAAAATCATAGATTTAGCTCACATATTAAGAAATCATCCAGATGCTACCTTAAGAAATCTTGCAGGTCATTTATCTACAAGACAATTGCTAAGAATATCAAACCGAATGAAACATTTTAAAATTGATAACATCTATGAAACAATGCAAGAAACATTTATGATGCAATTTTTGCCATCACTGACCCGACAAGCCTTAGAAAAAACTATTGCAAAACTAAATATAGTACCAGATTTGACGGATAGGAATAAAATGGTAAAGTGTGAGGTAAAAGATGGAGTATTAACCATCGGAAAATCATCATGTGCTGTCTATAAGGCCAGTAATCAGTCCAAGGTACCTAATATATTGTTCCACGATGTACCACAACATATTAAGTTGATGGAAAAAATATTGCAAGACTTTGAGTTGGGACAACATTTACTGCTAGTGGGTAATCAAGGTGTTGGTAAAAATAAGATCGTCGATAGGTTTTTACAATTACTAAACCGCCCCAGAGAGTACATACAACTACACAGGGATACCACAGTACAAACTCTAACCACCCAACCAACGGTCAAAGACGGTCTTCTGGTTCATGAAGACTCACCCTTAGTAAGAGCCATCAAACACGGTCTTGTTCTTGTCATTGACGAGGCCGATAAAGCTCCGACTCACGTAACATGCATCCTTAAAACGCTAGTGGAGTCGGGGCAGATGATCTTGAGCGATGGCAGAAGAATCGTGCATCAAATTAAGCAGGGTTTGGACGCGACGGACCTCGTACCGATACATCCAGATTTTAGGATTATCGTTTTGGCCAACCGGCCAGGGTTTCCCTTTTTGGGTAACGACTTTTTTGGCGCTTTGGGTGATTTGTTTAGTTGCCATGCCGTTGAGAATCCCTCCCCGGATTCCGAGATTAATTTGCTTAAGCAGTATGGGCCTAATGTACCGGATAATGTTATAAGGAAGTTGGTTGATGTTTTTGGTGATCTGAGAGCTATGGCGGATCAAGGTTTGGTGAATTATCCCTACTCCACCAGGGAGGTTGTGAATATAATCAAACATTTAGAGGTATAAAACCAAACAAATTTATAGACATTACTTATGTTAAGTTGTTTTAGAAATTCCCTAATGCAGACATAGAAGACGTTATCTTCAATATATTCGATTTTGATAAGTATAACCCGGAAATTGTGGACACTTTGGGTGAAATTTTGGTTAAACATGGCTTCTCCGATAAAGATATTTTGACTTCCGAGTACATTGGTGCCAAAATGGCAAGGGAAAATCTTCAGATAACTGTTAAGTCGAAGAGTGGGTAAGTAATTTCTTTAGAACAATTTAGTATTGCCATATTCATTAAATTTAATTCTTCTCTTAAAATAAAATTTTGCAATTTCAAAGGTTTTTAACTTTAATTATTAAAAAAAATTCTTATATTTTTTGATATACAGGCTGTCCCGAAAATGTCAAACCACACGATATATTTTTTTTTAAGTGAAACTTCTTTACGGAAATCAAACTTTATAATTAAAATTTAATAATAATTATTATGAAATTGAAACCCTTTTGTGGTGGGGATGACAGTGGGGACTAGGATTTTACATTTTTTAATTTCTAAAATTTAAAAATTTCATATTCTTCGTTTAAGAAAAAGATGTGAAATAGGAAAGTAAACATTTTTTGCAAAATATATTTTTTTATCTTTATGCATGCAAAGTTTAAAGATTAAAGTTACGTTTTAACAGAAGTTAAATTTTTTTAAATTCAAAACAATTGATAGTCAAAAAATATTTTAAATATAAAATGCTACTGTAAAACTTTAAGTTTAAAAAAATTGATTTTTAAAGATTTTAGTTAAAATATTTTATTCTACAAAATTATTGGTTTAAATTTTTAAATAGTCATTTAAATGATAGTTGATAAATTAAAAAATTATTTAATAAATGTTTAAACGGCGTGCCATAGCAACCCAAAAAATTCTAAAGTAATTAAAAAAAAATAATAATGTTTGCATAAGCGAAAAAGTTGTGAAACCGGACTATTTTTCTTTTCTTATTTATATGACGTTTTTTTGACATTGACGACTGTTTTAACATCACTTTTTCCCAATTTAATGCATTAAGTAACTAAATACACGTAGGGTATTGGCTTGTTTCCGTACCATTAGGAATGTGTGGCTGAATGTGTTTTGAACTAAAAGATTTCAGAAAATTTTGTTTTTTGGATACCGTTTTGAATCCGTCTTTGACAACATTTTTCACTAAAGGACCTCATTAATATTTTAACTTAAATTCGTTTTTGATAAAAATGTTGACCTAAATGGTTTTAGATTGTTATTTTCTGGATGAAATAAATCAATGATAACAAATTTTTTTAACTGAGATTGTACACCTGTTTTTGACCAACATTTGCCACCTTATTAAAGAAAAAATACTCCACTTTAAATCAACATAACTTTGTTCTGATTAAAATATTTTTTTTTTGAAACGTCATTAGAAATATTTGTTTAATCCTGTTATATAAATACATATTTAAAAAAAATTAAAATAAAAAAAATAAAATTTTATTTTTAACTAAAGTTCACAATTTTAAAGCCGCCATTTTGTTTTCAAGAAATCAGATTTTATATTCGTGATCAACGAACTCTAGAACCTTATTTTATTATTATATTATTTTGGTTATTTTAATGTTTTGAGACTATTTTTTTGTATAGAAGTAGGTATAAAACAATTTCCGGTAAAAATAATTCAACCTAGCTGGGTATGGGGAGTCCCCATTGGGGACATCCATTAATTACGTGAGATAAAAATAGGGGGGAGGGGTCTAGCAAAATCTCATGTTAAGGGAGGGGGGTCATTAAAAATGTCACGTCAACTTTTGAGTTTAAAGAATATGTATTGTAATTCAAATTTGTCAAAAAAAAAGTAATCAATTTTTACAATTTTTATTTTTTGGGTTTATCATGTTGTCCGCAAAGAAAGTTTAATGGCTAGAATCTAACATAAGCGATAGGGGGGGGGTTTACCACATCTCACCAAATCTCACCAAGGGGGAGGGAGGGGGCCAAATTGTTGATTTTGTTTTTATACAAACCATCTTTTTATTCTTGAAAATAATATCCCCCTCTATTTGCGCCATTTTCGGACACCTATGACTCGTAAGGATTTTGGTTCTTGGTTTTTTAGGTTTTACATTTTAATTTTTTGTTTACAGGCAATTTTTAGTATTTCAAATTCAAAAGCGTCCTTAATTTTCTTATAAAACTCATATTTACATGACTTAATATTTTTATTGATCGCAGCAAAGACGTATCTGCTCCCAAACATGGAAAAGAAGACCCAAACAATGACCCTCATGTTGGGGGCAACACTTGGGCTGGAGGCACAGGGGGAAGAGACACTGCCGGATTGGGGGGCAAAGGGGGTCCCTATAGGTTGGATAAAGGACATAAAGTTCATCAGGTATAAATTTAAAAAAAATGCAATTTTATTTGTACAACATACAAATAGGCTTTTTTGTTTAAATTTATTTTGTTATTTACCGTACTTGAAATATATTGAAAAAGTTGTGACGTTAAAAGCAATAATAATCTAAGATTAAAAAAAAATGTTCTTTGCATAATTTTTATCCTTTTAAGGTCAAGATTATTTTTTCTAAACCTCTGGAAAACGACCAATTAAATTAAAATTAAAAATAACAAAATATACACGACAGCAGCTGCTATAACAATATTAAAAAAACAGCAACACATTTTTTTAGCTATCTGACGAAGAAAAAAGCACAGTACCCGAGCATGTGCAAAGGGCGGCGCGCGAAATGGGGCGCAAAGCGTTCGAGGAAAAGCTAAAGGAAATCGGAATGAGTGGATATGACGCCAGCGTTTACTCGCAATTTTCCAACGCAGTGCACAAAGAGGTGCAATCTTTAAAGGTGATACTCGGCAATCTACAAGCTAAAAACAAGGAGAGACACTGGACGAGACACCAGACATCTGGAGAACTGGATGATGTGAAGTTAATTGATGGTAAAGTTGCTTAGAGAAAAGATATCTCCATGTATTATGATTGCATATAACTACATACTTTATAGGCCTCTTGGGAGAAAAAACGATATTTAGGAGAAGAGCAGAGCAAGAACCAGAGCTAGGAGCACCACAGATAAAACCAAAGTTATTTAGGGTAGTAGTAGATGTCTCTGGTAGTATGTACAGATTTAATGGTTACGATGGAAGATTGGACAAAGAACTTGAGGCTGTGGTATTGATGATGGAGGCTTTGGAAGGTTTCGAGGACAAAATTAAATACGACATTATTGGCCATTCTGGAGATTCCCCTAATATTAGTTTTGTGAGAAGAGAAAAAATACCAAAAAATAATAAGGAAAGACTTGAAGTTATAAGGGTGAGTAAAAAAATATTATGTTTTCTTTGGGTTAATCTGTGCAGGTTTTACCATTACCTTTTTATGGAATGTGTAATTATTATTTTTTAACAACTAAAATAAAAAGAGGTTAAATAAATAGTACATTAAATATTGAGTGGTGAAAGGCGGAGATTTTTAAATAGTGTGAAGTAGCAACACACTTTTTAGAATTCGCCGTCTTTCGCCACGAGATATGTATATTTTCGCTGCCTTTTGATCGTTTGAATCGTTAATATTTAAGCGTTTGAGGTTAACTCATAAACAATAATTTAGTCGTACCAACCTTAAGAGAATTAAAGAAGTTTACTTCCGCGGTTAACTCTGATAGTGGCGAAAACAATCAGCTGAGGATGCGATAGTTAACTCAATTGAGTCGTCTGCTTTCCCCAAATAATCGCCATTTTCGCATCGTCAAATGTATATTTGGAAAGTAAAAATCTGTAGATAACAACTAAACAAAAAAAAACTTTAATGTAGGTAATGATTTTTGACATTTTGCAGTATCAACGACTTCACCGTTTTCAAAGTTTGAGCTACAAAGTCAGTTAAATTGGCAAATTGTTGTCATTTTCTCTTCTGATTTAAATGGTGAAATAACCAAATAATTACTTTATTTACCAACAATCAGAAATTGCTTATTAATTGTTTATTTTTAAGTTTAAGGTAGTTATGAAATAATAATTTTTTGTTCCAAATTAATTTGTTTTTCAAAATATGTAAACATCTACAGTTATGTACATTTGTTTGCGACTCACCCCTGTAAAATCTTTTAAAGGCGAAGAAATTTTTTTAAACCCAACTTAAAAAAACTGACGTCGCAGTTCACAACCTAGATTACTTAAATCTGGACGAGGGACACCAAATTCCTTAACAAACATTTTATCATCGAAAGAAAGACGACTAAATGGAAAGTTCAAAAGAAAGTCTACAATATCGGTACAATTTCTCACCATAATGACTAAATTCACATAAATCACCAAGTTCAATTAACTAAACCCACAAACCACTTACAAAAGAATCATAAAATAGACAAACTCATAGAAAAAGAATAAACAAAATATTGCGTAAATAACCACAGATTTGTTCTTTAAACAATTCAGAATTTTATAACCAAAACAAACCTAAAGAAGGAATCTGTATTTATTTTATTGGTTACTGTGATGGCTACAAGATGGCGATAGTGTTAAAATATGTCATATACTTACCACACATATACATCATTTACATCATTTAGATCATTTTGGATTCAGGCTGTTTCCTTTTCGTGGGGTTAAAGTAGGAGCTAGCTACTTATGCAGTTTTACACATGCGTGGGGCCGTGTTTTTCAGATGTAATTATATTCTAATATTATTTTCGTTATTATAAAGCTTATAAAAATATTTTATATTGCATAATTTATAAAGAATTAATAAATTATGTTTTTAAGTATTAATAATAAAAAGAAGTATTATTTTTTCAATTTTAAAAAAATGTTTTTAGCATTAGAAATTTGGCTACGTCTTATTTTATTACCCAAGGACTTATTGCCAAGGAGATTATAATCGAACATTTTGGTCACAGTACAAACCATTTTTGGTTTATTGTTTACAGCAAAACAGTTCGCATTTTAAAACTAGTTTTCTAATATTTTTTTAATATAACCTAAATTCTTAAACTGACATTTGGATTTATTCATAACCAACAAACATTATTGATTTTTTAATCTCCCACTTTTGAACTGCACGTGCGCAAAAGGTAGAGAGTAGCCACCCTCCTCTTAAAAACTCTACAAGGTCATATATTCAAAATATAGGGAATAAGCGGTATATGAAATATGTTTCGATTAAATCGATTTATTATAAGAAAAATAATACCATTTATTATTGAATTTTGAAAAACGTGTGAAGTATAATTTATCTAAAATTCCGCAACAGTGTTGCCACAACACCTGCTTATTTCTTTGGATGTAGGCGTGCCTGCCTCGCGTATGCTAATACGAGAGAAGGAGACAACTATGATATCGCATTGTAATATAACGAGACAAGGCTAACGCCAATCGTGAGTCTAAATTAGTTCAGACATGCTTAAGAGCCAATCATCTAGCTATAAATATTAGTTAAAATTGCGGTCGTTTCAAATTCAAATAATTTAAATGTTCCTGGCTATTCCACGTATAAAATCAATAAATTTTATTGACTATTTCACAATTCATGTAATCCAAATATTAAAAATTTATGGTATATTATAGGAAGTAAAATATTTAAATTATACTTAATTTTTTAATTCACCTGCCTCCCCTGACGGGCCGCCACTGGTCTTTAATAAAAATTATTTAAACAATTTTAATTATTTATACCTTCTAGGCCTACCATTGCAGTAAAAATTTTACAAAATGTACTCTTATTACTTCTTAATCTTATATTAGTGTTCCAAAAAGAACAAAATTGAAATTCCAACTCTAACCTATCGCATTTTTCGAAAATATTCATTTTAAAGAAAAAAATATTTTTCAACTGTCAAAAAAAATCAACTAATTGCGAACGAAAATAATTAATATGGTGCGGAATTTCGAAAAATGTTTTTTTGTTTACTAACTATAGTTATTATCTAGAGATTTTTACAATTATCGTTATTTTCTAAAAATTCAATAAAAAATCATTGACGCATCATTTCAATTGGTTTGATTTAGATAATAGAAAAGTAACAAAAAACTTAAAAAACAACATTTAACTAATGTTAGTATAAACAAATATTAGAAATATTCCCCAACACCAAAACCAAACACAAAGTGCTAAAAGTACTTTTCGCCAAGGATGTTGGCATCTTCAGAAGCGAAGTGTAACTAAATCTAACTGCTAAACCTACCATATTTAAACTAATTATAGGCCTTCATAAGGGAACCAAGTCTGCTAGATAGTTAAGAAAGTTTATACATTTATGAGAATAGAAACAAATCTTTAAAAAGCGATAACGGACCGGTACCCAACTCTAGTTTGTATAAATTAGTTTGTTAGTTTTTCTTTACGTGTTCAACCTTAGCTTATAATTAGTATAAATATGGTAGATTTAGCAGTAAGGTTTAGTTCCACTTCGCTTCTGAAGATGCCAACATCGTTGGCGAAAAGTACTTTAAGCACTTTGTGTTTTGTTTTAGTGTTGGGGAATATTTCTAATATTTGTTTAGCATTTCACCAAACTTGGCCTTTTTCAAGTATAATGTTAGTATGCTTACGTTAGAAATTGGGACTTTTAAACATTAAATTATAAAAAAATATTGTTTTTGCTAACGTTAGAAAAATGTTTTTACACCAGGGTATCCTTGACAATGGATTTAATATTTTTAGACCATGCACGCTCATTCCCAATTCTGCTGGACAGGGGACCACACTTTAGAAGCTACGGAGATGGCCGTCACAAACTTGGCCGAGGACGAATGTGACGAAGCCATTTTGGTAGTTCTCTCAGATGCCAATCTTCAGAGATACGGTATACCACCGTCGCAGCTCGCAGCTGCCCTAACAGCTAAACCTAACGTTAGCGCATATGTGGTGTTTATTGGAAGCTTAGGGGACCAAGCTGAAAGGTGGGTTGGCTGTGAAAACAATGTTGTCAAGTTTCATTTGGCAATGTTTAAATAAACAGTTGAGTGTCATTTTACTCACGAATGATGTGTAAACAACTTGGCCGATACACGTTTAGTGTGAAAAGTATGACAACCTTAAAATTTTTAGAAATTTTTGATAATTTCACCCTTTTGATACCCATATCAAGGAGGTTGTGAAGAAATGTCACTAATGTCGATTTTTACCAATTTTAATAAAATTTAAAAGATTGCTGATAAAGGTAATAATAATAATGATATAACTACTATTTTTTGTTTGTTTTAGGATTACACAAAAAATGCCTGCCGGACGGGCATTTATATGCAGTGATACCAGTGAACTACCACACATTTTAAAACAAATATTTACTTCCTCTGTCAATATATAGAGTTGTTTTTTTAAATTTAAATAGATAATTTTTTTAATAAAAATGTTTTACTTTTAATTAAATATTTCCCATATTTGCTTTTTTTGCATTTCTAGCGGTTTAAGAAAACAAAAAAAAAACGTGTTTTTTTACTTATTTTTCTATCTGAAGGAAAACCTGTTTTTACATCTCTACTTCAAGGTGTTACCAAGTTTGTTTTGTGTTTTTATTTGTATCATGAATTTGACGTTATTTTTTGGTTTAAATTTGGCACATTTTCACCTTTCCTCTTTTTCTTACTAAAAAGTTCAATCCTTATATGATTTTAGGGAAAAAAGTTCTTATCAACCGCAACGTTGCTTCAACGTTTCTACGTCTGCATATTGTCGGCAACGTAATAACTTCTTTAAACAATTATAATTGTTATAGGGTTAAGATCACAATCTGTGGTTAAGACTCTGCAGAATCATCTGACAAAAGCTGAACCAAAAAATGATTTAAATACAAATGAGATCATTCTGAATGAAACATCGCATATATACGCAAAAATTAAAAAACTGATTTTACAAATAGTGATAAAAATAAATAAAAACCGAATTTTGAGCGCATCATCAAAATTCGCTTTTTATTTATTTTTATCAATATTTGTAAAATCAGTTTTTTAATTTTTGCACATATATGCGATGTTTCATTCAGAATGATCTCATTTATATTTAAATCATTTTTTTGGTTCAGCTTTTGTCAAATTATTATTATTATTGATTACGCATCCACTCCAATATGTCTATGGCTTTCAAATAGATGATTGACAGTTGGAGTTAGGCACTTTTAGAATGCAATTACATTTTTATTGACCCCAATATTATTGTGCGATATTTTACAAACAGTAATATACGTTTAGTGAAGATAAACGGTAATACCTATACGTAAAAAACGGGTGTGTCGGTAATAGTAGGTAGTGTCAATCCCGGGACTTTCGGGACGAAAGGTACCCGGGATCAGTCCAGAAAAAATATAAATCTTTAATTGTTAAACCAATTTAAAATAAAGGAACAAACTATAAATTTTTCGTTATAACGAACGATATCTACACTAGTTGGAGGAATGGTTTTCAAGAATTCGTAGGCACATTGTACCCACGTTTACCCCCTTTTAGCAAATAATAATATCATTTATTCCGGCGATGGAATTTTCTATTCTATCTGAAAAGTTTTTCCCATTCAGGTTTAATTCTTGCAACCGGCCTTTGCATTTTGTCTTTAGAATCCGTCGTGAAACGTGAGAGTTTTAGAACCATATTTTGCATTTTGAATGCCATTAAATAGTTCATTATCTATCAGGCGGAGAAAGCGCTTATAGCAGAGCTTTCAGATGCTTTCTCGGCCGTGTTGTATATATACATCTGAAAGCTCTGCTATATATATACTATTTTTTTCAAGCGTTTAATACTTCTGTACTTCCATTGAAATTATCGAATTTGTGACATTTTCTTAGGTTTGACCCTAGACCATGGTCATGCAAACGAGGTATAGTTTTGATTTAGGGGTTTGACGTTTGAAAAATGTTATATTACCTATAGGTAATGTACATGAATTTATTATATTGCTGATTTTGTGCTACGCGATAGATGGAACCACTCTTAAGAGCAATTGCTATGTAATTTCAATGTATTTTCATACAAAAAATGAAGTATTTATAAATATGCTTATTATATATTAGTATTATAATATGAAAATTGTCATACGCTTGAAAAAAAAGTATATTTTATTCTTTGTAACTTATTAAGATCCCGGGATTGGGACTTTTTATCCCAGGATTGGTAAGTAGACTCACGCAAAAGCTTTGCTTCCCACTATATTTTAATTTAAAACTACTTTTCGAATTTATCCTACAATTAAGAATATTAAAAGAAATGTTATTTTAAAAATATAGAAAATTTTGGACGTGTTCGAGGAATGAGAATTTTTTATAAAAATAATAATGGATTTTGTTTTTAAAAATTAGAAAAATAGATTGTCAATTTGTCATCGACCTGAAAAACCAATTGTCCGCCATATTGGATTAAGTTTTCAAAAATGGATATCTGCTGTAACATTGCAGCAATATGTAGTGCTGTTATAGTACGGGACAATAAAAACGTACAATTATTGTATATATACTACTACTACTACTTTTATATATACTTTTATATATAAAAGTAGAAAGTGAGGTTAGATATATCTGACAGAAGTCGAATTTCTTTATTGGCCCTAAGTAGTAAATAATGAATTTTAACGGCCTAACCGATTGGTCTAAATCATTTTTAGTGCCTAGGCCATAAACAATCCAGTAATCTCGTGACGTTAAAAATCGTCAAAATTGACCCCCTCCCCCGTGACAGGATGAATGAATAATCAAAGTCCCTTGCTCCCTAAAAATATTTTTTCAGATTGTTTTAGGCATGTATGTAATAATCCGACTAAAAAATGGAACAAATAAGCAATTTAATTTGATTTATTTTAATCATCAAGTTTTAATTAACCCTTCTCCTCAGGGTGACAAATTGTGACTGATCTTCAACCCCCCTCTACCCCTCCAGCTTCACAAGATTTATGGACGGCCCCTTAGTAACGCTTGTTGACAACAACATATATATTATATACCGATTAAAAAAATAATGATTTTACTGTGTATGAATAATGATTGTTCTGTGTGTGATTGAGAACGCTTTTACGAATTACAACTTTTATGCCCCCATTTCGCACTTTTAAACATTTGATTTTAAGTGAGTGTAGTAACAAAATATTTTAAATTTGAAATTCAACTTATATTTTAATAAATTGTAATTATTATTTAAATTTTTAAACAAATTAATTAAATTTTTACGACAAAATTATACAAAAGAACTTATCAACACTTCTAGCGCAGAGTGTACTTTCAATACAGCCAACCGTAGAAAACAATAAGACGGTTTATATTCCAATAAATTTTGAAAATAGTAACACAAAAATAAAAATATCACGTAAATATTACGTTAAAATATTCATTACTAATATAATATATCATGTTTTAATTATATAAAGGTTCTGTAAAAATTCGCAATTTAGTTAGTCTAGCCGTTTGGTTGGCAACGGTCAGACGCCAAGCCGCATAGGATTATGGGAAAATGATGAACGTCTGTGACAAGTGAAATTGTTACGCATTTGCAAAAAATAAACACGGTATGCAGTAAGAATACAAAAACTAGTGAAAACCGTGACTATTTGTAAGTGACAAAAGCTATTTATTACCCGAGACAGTGGTTCGTCAAAATAAACTAGTGAAAGCATTGTGGTTGACGTACTATTTATAAAATCGGTGATTTTTTACGCAGATTGTAGTTTTATCAACGCGACAGCTAGAATTTACGAAACATTCAACAATTTGTTAGGGTGCATTCAGCTATAGTATGTTGAGTTTTTAGGGGTTTTACTAAATGCCCTGGTAAAAATGAGTGAAACTGCACTTGAATTTAACGAAGGCGATATCGTGTGGGTTAAATTGGGCCCAAGTTGGTGGCCCGGCGAGGTTAAGGATCCAAACAATCTTCCCAGTGATGTTGTTTCTTTTAAAAAACCACCTTTATACATTGTGAAGTTCTTCGATGAGGATTCATAGTAAGTTAAAAAACATTTCTTGGTTTGTAACACAATACTGTTAATAAATAATACATTTTAGTTATCTTTACAAAAATAACATTTAACATAATTTACTTAAATATAAGTAATAATGTGAACAATTTATTTTTAATTTATTGCTTAAACAGACAAAGCTGATCATTAAGTATTCATATACCTACCTACTGACTATTTTCCTGTAATTACCATAATGGAATTGGTTTTAGTCAGACAATGCATTATTTAAAATTTTGGAAATAACTATAAAAAAAAGTATTATTACTCTAGTACAGTTAAAACCAAATCATTTCCTATAACTAAATTAGTAGTTTTTTTTCATTAAAATGTCCAACAACATAGGCAAAATTAGGTAGGTATACCTATTTTTGTATACTGTAGAAGATTGTTACTAGGTATATAAAATTAAACTCCCTTATAATGTACACAAATACTATTACGTACTTATGGTTATAACTAGACACTAGATTATACATATGCAACATAAAAAGGCTGAATTAAGCATAGAAAATGCTTAACCCTTTGTTAGGCGCAACCAATCTAATAGGCACAACAAAAATACGTTGTTAAACCATTTCTTGTAAACTGCCCATATCAACTCACATGTCACATTAGCTTCCTAGCTTATCAAATACGAATTTTAATTAAAAAAAAAAATTTTAATGTTTGTTTTTGTAATGTTTCTAATCATAAGTACCTATACCTACTTTTTTAAATTTTCTGTTTAAATGTTATAAATTGTATATAAATGTTTCATGTCCACTGAGGTAAATGGGCGGTACTTAAATATTTGTGCATATTGTCTTAAAAGTTTATTTTTTTGTGTACCAAACTACTTTTTTTCTGCATTTAACACTATTAAAGAACTTATAATGTACTGTAAAAATATGGAAAATATGCATATGCAATATGCCATTAAATATAATCTGGCCTCTGGTAATATCATACCAAATAAATAGTCCCAGGCAAACTTAAGAATTCTGATATGACTTACACATTTGGTATGTTTAAATTGATCTATAGTGTAATATGTTTTTCTGTAATAAATAAACTAAAACAAATAAATGTATTTTTTTAGAGTCGCTAAAATGTAATCAGTTTTGCCAAAATTGTTCTACATCCTAATGACAATAGTTCAGAGCTAAAATGTGTTTAATAAACAAAACAAAGAATATCTTAAACCTAAGCTAAATTTAACAACTGGGCCTTAAATATTTGACAGGCTAGAATCTAGCCGCTAGATATAAAATACGTTCTTAGATTGTTTTACCACCTTCCAAACCACTTACATTTTAATTTGAAGTTAAATTGTATAAATAAATATTTTTATAATAATCGTTTTTTCAGTGAATATGTTAAAACTCCACAAAACATCCACCCCTACAATTGCGAAAGAAAAAATGATTTCATTAAAAAAGGAATGGGTAAGAACAAAAATAACCTTAAAAACATATTAAAACAATAAGTTACCAATTTTTTTTTAGCCTCTTTTAGAGCCAAACTTGTACACATGCAAAAATTCCCCAAAGATGTCTGCACTGCCGAAGTTAAAACTGGCGGAAACCCAAATATACTGAGCGAGCCAATTTTTCTCCCTGAGAAAAAAATAAATTATGCTGCCGAAATTTTCGGTACTCCTAGTCCTAAGAAAAAGCTTAAGGAGGGGGATCGTAAAAAAGGACGTTTTTCTATATCTAGTAAGTTTTTTTTCATTTTTTTTAAATTTTGAATCCGAATTTTTGTCATTAATATTTTTTAACATATATTCAAATTACAGTTTTAATATAAATTACTTTTTTAAGTTATGACCATTAAAAATGTTTAAATCCAAAAATTTAATAATACATTTTAAGGTGTTAAAAACGTGAAACAAAAATGTTTATCTACTCTTGCATAATATTGTTATTTTTGTATATAATTATAAACATCAATTTTCTGCCTAACAGAAATAATGAATTCATTATTCACGTTGTTAGGCATCAGTGATTGGCTGATTTCAATATTTACTGTTTTGCAGTAATCCAGTTTTAAATTAGGAGGCGACTATAAAATTATTAAAAAGTAAGGTTAAGCATTTGACAGATGTCAAATTTAATTTATTTAGTTTTGAAAATCATTTAATTATATACTTATTGGAGTAGATAAAGTATAGTATTACACTCGAGATTATGCGCATTATCTCTCATTTAATAATGTAGGTACTATTATTTAAGAATGTCTGTAACAAATTTCAGAATATTCAAACCATAAAGTCACATTTTTAAATCTTAATTTAAAATGTAAAACATTATTTTTTTTTGCTAAAAAATGTCAACTCATTGAATGTTTTTTTTCTCGGTTTTTTAGTACCTATCATAAAAAATTTTAATTTCAAAACCATATTTAGTTTTATGGTTTTATGGAATATAAAAACCATATTGTCAAATTTTGAATAAAAAAAGACTTTTATAATAAATTAATTAACTTTTTTAAATTTAATATAATTTACAAAATAAAAACTGAGACATTTCTTTCAGTTGATTAAAATAAGTTAAATAAACAGGGTGAATCTTCTACATATAAGCATTTTTTTATTTAAAAAAATACTAGATTGGTTAAATTAAAGAAACGTTTCATTAAAGTCTATTAAAATGACATTTAAAAATTGGATAAAAATTTGCGGTTCTCAAATAATTTGAATAAACTCCAAAAACCTGTTAAAACCAAAAATCGTTTTAACTTCGTTATTCCTGTGAATTTTGAAAAAGGTTTCACATAAAAAAATACATTTATCTACATTTTCATTCAATTCGTGATTTTTTTCGCCTACTAGATTTTTAGTTTTTCCACGCAAAAAAATCAAGGAATCCTATGATGTATTAAACTAACTAAATTAAACCAAAACAAAGATAAATGTGTATTTTCACATGTAAAACTTACTATTTTTCAAAAGTCCCAGGAATAACAAAGATATAACAATTTTAGTTTGTTTTTCAAATAGTTTGAGAACCGCTGTATTTTTACAAATTTTATTTTAATTACGAAAAAAAATATAAATATTCAAACACTTATGTTCAATAAAGTTAAATAAAACATATATTTTAACTATTAATAACTATGTAATAATATTTCAACTACAAATTCCTTAAGACATTTTAAAAAAGTTTCTTTTAAGTTATTTTTTTTTAAATTAACCAAAATATAGCCAATCAGATCGCAAATGTTAAGAACATAATTTGGAATGTAAGGATTTTTTTAAGAGTAAATACCCAGATATTTACAAATACATTTAGAACGTTTACATATTTTTTAAATGGATCTTAATTTTTAACAAATTATTTAAAAATGTCATGACTTATTTAATGTCAAAACTTTTTCAGAATGCCAAAAACACATTTTTAAATATTAAAACAATGGTAAATTTTAAATGATAAAAATTATTTAAGAATGTTAAAAATACATTTTAAACATATTTTGTCATTTAAAATTTAATACCACTTAATTATCGAAATTTATTAAAACCTTACTTTATAGTCGCCCCTCATATACATAAAAAATCTGACATCTGTTGAACAGTTTCAACCTCACTTTTTCCAAATTTAAAACCTGATTGGTTCAAATCACAGTGAATATTAAAATCGGCCAATAACTGATACCTAACAACGCCTGTTATCAGGCGGTTATAATCGTTACCATTATATACGAAAAAAACAAATAATGTCAATTGTATTCAATAGAAGTAGAAAAAAAATATATGACAGTTAAGAAGCTTATTTTAGACTTGGTCACAAATTTTCTTAAATTTCATAAATTTAATATTTTTGAATTACAAAAGTGATGTATGAATATAAACGCGTTAAAACCGCTTTTTAGGATGATTTTTAGGATTACATTGAAATTAAAAAGTGATGAAAAATAATTATCTGCAATTATTAATAATAAGTATAATATACTTATGTTATTCACAAAAACGACTTTTTTGGATTTAAAACTCATTTTTGCAATAAAACTTTGATTACAACATGGTTAGATATTATTTAGGTATAATTATAATCAGTTTTTTTGCAAAAATGTAAAACGTAAAAAGCCAAACAAGTTTTTTTTTAATATTTAATTTTATAACATAATTTAAGTATAACTTTTTTAATTTAAATTTTATAGTAAAAATAGGATTTATCGTCCTAAAAAGCGTTTTAACGCAATTTATTCATAAAATCACTTGTGTTTGGATGGGATGGCAACAATATATCAATATTTTTTTATATCATTAAATATTTCTAAATATATCGAAAAAGATATCAATATATTTTTAAATATACACGGTGTGTCTGAACAAAGTTTAAGTCACATTAAAATGCCGCCAAAAACTGATTGCACTTTCTTGTTCGGGACCCTTTGGTAACTTTAAAATGATATTTACCAAAATCCTAGCTGCTCCTGTTTTCGAAATTTTTTGAAAATTCTTATTTTTTTTTATTTTTGTTTATCTTACCTTTGACAGAGTACACATTTGTACACCGATTTTTATAATATTGGAGTATATTGTTAACGAGACTTGAAGAATACTGTTTTCATACTGAGCACATTAGATTTATACAGTTTAAGCTCGACGCATGTAGGCGTAGCCGTTGACACTTGTTTACTGCCTACCATCGGCGTTGAAGATTAATATTAAATTTTGAAGAGTGAAATAAACCAGATAACATTAATTGGTACAATTACTTAAATAATAATTAATTAATATTCTTCTAAAAAACTGTCGTCATCGCTACTATCATCTGAATATAGATTAATTAAAAATGGTTTCACATGATCATCCAACACTATTTTCCGGCCAAGATATTTATCTTCCATAGATATTATTTTTGGTAATGTTTTATTTTGGTTACCTATATACGTATTTAGGTATATTTATATAATTAAGGTACCTTTTAAAATTATACTGCTTTGTTACCTTTACCCTGTATTTTATACAGGGGTATTTCCATTGTAACGGGTGCAAACAAAATGTCAACAAAAACTTATATAGAAAACCTTTTATAACGTCATGAATAGCGTAACGGGCGCGACCTTCTAAAGTTGATACTGTAAAATTTTGGATGAAAGCATATAGTAATAATTTTTTGTGTAAAACTACTAATACTTTATTTTCTAAATGTAACAGGTGTGACATTTGAACATTTTATTGAGTATTGAAACTCTTCCGTGTTTATTCTTAATGTTAGCTTCTTAGCATCACAATGTACCAATATTTTAAGGTTATAAATTACGTCGCAATTAAACTATTTGACTTCAGATATTTTGTTAAATAAAACATCTGTTTTTTGTCAAGGTGGGGTAAGGTTTCGTGGAAATACCTGTAGGTACGCATTTATATAATTATAAGGTACATTTTAAGATTATACTACTGTGTTTTTTTAATTCAATATATTTTTTTAAACATTATACTATAAATTGAACAAATAGCCAATAGCTTTGCAAAACACGTGTTAAACTGAGCTTGAAAGGCGGTACCATTACGAAATTATGTCAACTGAGCATAGGGCGTTCTCGCTAATTTTTCTTATTTAAACATAAAATTTTCAAAATTTTTTTAATGACCAATACGACTTCTATAGCAAAAACAAAGCCCCAAATCAAAAAAATATATTCCACAAACAGTACTTAAAATAGTCAATTTTACCATTACCCTGAAAGACCCCATAACGATAAATAATTTTTGATGCACCGTTCGATACGATATTTCGAAATATAATTTTAATCTGCCATTTGCATTTGTGCCAGAAGATGTCGAATGTATTTTATCGACCTACAAAGCGTTTTTAACTCGATTTTATACATAAAATCACTTGTGTAGTTCAAAAATGCAATTTTGCGAAAGATATCGGCTATTTTACAATTTCCCAAAACTGTAAACTTATTTTTCTCTAAAAGATTCCATTACTTAATTTTTGCAGAAAAAGACAGTACTCCCAATATAACACACAGAAGATTCCTGGGCTCCGACGACTACGAGGCCCAAATTTGCATCCAATACCCCGGAAAAGACATCTGCGGAGACACCGAAGAATGCGAAGAAATCATCCGCATCAACAAGGAACCGGCTCAAGAGTACAAGTGTCAAAAATGCGGTTACGCCACCACACGTCTGGAAGTAATGATCCTTCACACGAAATCTCACATCCAGGGCGTGTACGATTCCACCTTGTCCAGCAAAAAAAGCAGAAAATCCGTCGTCAGGAAACCGAGGCAGAAAAAGAAGACGTTCGATGAGTTGTTGTTGGAGGACGATTCCGATCTGGACATGCCGGCGAGTAAGAGAAAGCCGAAGTCTCAAACGTCGAGCAGGAAGGCCAAGCAGAAGAAAAGCGAAGAAAATAAAAACGATTCCGTCGCCGAACCCGTTTCGCCGACGCACATCAGGAATAACTTGCTCGCGGAATGGGAGGAAAGCGACGAAGAAGAGGAAGATGAAGATTCCGACAAACCAATCGACAAGAATGTCGAGGAGAAAAATGACAAGGACGAAGAGCAAGAAAACACTGAAGATTTATCAAAAAACGACGATGAAAAGGAGAAAACTCAGAACGGCGACGCAAGTCCGAGTAAAACAAAGGAAGATCGACAAAACGAGATCAAAAAAGATATAAAATCATGCTTCGATTTCGACGATGACGAAGAGGACACTCCGATCGTGGAAACCGCCGTGGGAAGAAAGATCCCGCGCGTGATTCCGCCCTCGGAAAAAAGAAAATCCGAAGATTTCCAGTTTAAACCGAAAACCACCAAAGATAGCCTTGAAAAATCTAATATCGTCGAGGAAGACATTGATGATGAGAAAAAGGAGGAAACGTTGAAGGTCAGCCAAAGTTTCAACGTGATCGAAAGCGAAGAACCGGAAAAAGAGGAGGATCACGAGAAAACGTTCAAAGAGTTGCTGGAATCGACAAGTGTCCCGACGTTGCCGGACGTGCAAAACACCTTGAAAGCCGAGCAGAATTTTCACGATACTAAAACCATAAAATTTCCCGACAAGACCGAGCCCACGGAGAGCGAGAAAAAAAGCAGCGAAGTCGCTACGAAGTTAACGAACCCCAAAAAACGGTTCGTTAAGTCCTTCGAAGACTTCGAGATGCTGCAAAACGAGCAGAGGCGTTTGGAGGAGGAGGAGGAGGAAAGGTCGCACCAGCCTGAAGAAAAAGCGCAGCACGTTGAAGAAAAGTCCGAAGAACATCAAAAGCCGCACGATTTTTTAGAGGAAAAACCCGTCGAAGACGTCAAAATCAGCAAACTAAGAAACAAGATGATGACGAAAATTATGTCGGAAGAGCGACCGACCCGCCAAAGTACGCGCAGAAGCTCAGAAAACACGAGTCAAACTAGTACGCGTAAAAGTCTAGAGAAACAGATTTTTACCAAAAAAGAAGACAAAATCGAGGACGAAATTGAGGCCGAAATCGAGGACAAAATTGAGGCCGAAATCGAGGAAGACATTTCGAGGAAGAAAGACGCCATTGCCGAACGTTTGGGGGTAAAACGGGAAACGCGGTCGAGGTTCAGCGAGCTGAAAAAAGTAGAGGAGCAGAAAAACGTCGAAGAAAGGGAAGAAAAAAAGGCGCTGGAAAAGGAATCGTGTCCGCCAAAAAAAAAGTTTTGCTCGCGCAGAAGCTCGAAGAGGCAGTCCGTTAATGAGCAAAAAGCGGCGGAAATAAATTCAGATGAAGGCAATATCAAAGCAGAAGAAATTTCGCAAAACCACGCTAGCTCACCCAAAAGTCCTGCTGGAGAAAGTCCTGAACAAAAAGCGGTTGAAGAAGGCAATATCAAATTAGAAGAAATTTCACAAACCGATGTTAGCTCACCTGCTGAAGAAAGTGCTGAGCAAAAAGCGGCAGAAATAATAACAGATGAAGACAATTTCAAAGAGGTGCAGGAAAACGTCGACGAAAGGGAACAAAAAAAGGCGCTGGAAAAAGAATCGTGTCCGCCAAAAAAAAAGTTTTGCTCGCGCAGAAGCTCGAAGAGGCAGTCAGTTAATGAACAAAAAGCGGCAGAAATAAATGCAGATGAAGACAATATCAAAGCAGAAGAAATTTCGCAAAACAATGCTAGCTCACGCAAAAGTCCTGCTGAAAAAAGTGCTGAACAAAAAGCGGCAGAAGACGATATCAAAGCAGAAGAAATTTCACAAAACGATGTTAGCTTACCCAAAAGCCCTCCTGAAGAAATTCCTGAGCAAAAAGCGGCAGAAATAGATGCAGTCAAAGAGGAGCAGGAAAACGTCGAAGAAAGGGAAGAAAAAAAGGCGCTGGAAAAGGAATCGTGCCCGCCAAAAAAAAAGTTTTTCTCGCGCAGAAGCTCGAAGAGGCAGTCCGTTAATGAACAAAAAGCGGCAGAAAAAAATGCAGATGAAGACAATTTCAAAGCAGAAGAAATCTCACAAAACGATGCCAGCTCACCCAAAAGTCCTTGTGAAGAAAGTCTTGAACAAAAAGCGGCTGAAGAAGACAATATCAAATTAGAAGAAATTTCACAAAACGATGCTAGCTCACCCAAAAGGTCTGCTGAAGAAATTCCTACACGTCCTGAGAAAGACCAAGTTCTTGATGAGAAGGATGTTCAAGAAATTCCTACACGTCCTGAGAAAGACCAAGTTCTTGATGAGAAGGATGTTCAAGAAAAAAATATTAGTGATATCTCAAGTAACATCGAAATCGCCTTGAATAAATCTGAAGAATTAAGAAACTCTTCAAAAAGTGATTTAGACTTAATTGTAGCTAGTGAGTGCAATAATAGCAAAAGTGATTTAAACCGCGACAAAATTGAACTTTCCCTGGAAAAAAGTGAAGATTTAAATAGCAAATCTCCAACGAAACAAAACGATTCGCCCGAAAAAAATCGAAATCATCTACCGTCACCAAGAAAAGAAAGTTCATCGCCCACGAAAATAACTGCGGCGCCAATAAAAGATACTTTTTTATCTAAGAAGGAAGACGTTTATTCCATAACAGAAACGAGCGCTGTTTTGCCCGATGACGCCATTTGTTCTCCCATTAAAAAATCCCCCATCAAACAAAAACAAGAGGAAGAAAATCTGGAAGCAAAAGAAGACAGTATTAAAGTGGAAGCACAGCAAGAAAAAGAACTGAACGAGAACTCTACCAAAGTAAACGTTTTGGAATTTAGTTTTGAGGACGCCGAATTAGACAAAAGCACGACTGATAAAGACCTTAACGAATTAGTTGATAAACCTGCGGAAGAAACAAAAAATGTTGCAGAAGCTGAAGATAATCCTGTAAAAACCGATGAGGAAGAGGTAATCGAAAGCGTCGAAATGTCGGCCTTGAGTACTTTGGCGTCGTTAGCCACAGCCACTACGGAATCTTTGCAGGAGAAGCCTGACAAAATTGACCACATGGTGATTCCTGCAGCTTCCGAAACCGTGCACATCGACGAAAGTAGTTTAACCGTGGTTTCGGAGAAAGACTTGGCCGATGGGCAAGTTGAAATAACCAGTTCCTCCGAGCACAGCACCAAACCACCGGTTACGCTTATGAATTTTTCCATGGATTTCACCGAATCCGAAACGGAAAATTCCAGTGAGCTGCATAAGATAATCGAAAATCAAATTTCCAAGTCGCCTACAAAGTCGGCGAGCGAAGAAGGATCAAGGGATAAATCGGTTAAAAAATACGAGAGGTTGGAATTACTCGATATTTTGGAGGGTAATTCGCTCACGCCCGAACAAAAAGCTAAAGATATAAGGTCCGCGCCTAGTTTTCCAAACGAGATTTTGGACTTTGAAGAACACATTCCCTCGCAAATTGTGAGAGCAACCACAAATCAAACCAACGACGCAGTAATAGATGTCCCTAAACCTGAAACTTTCAAATGTACGTCAAAACTAATGGCAAGGTTAACGGAAGCCAAGAAGAAAAGGGAGCCGGAGGTCTATAAAGGTAAAATAAAAAAAGCCAATTTAAGTGTCGCCACAAAATCTCTTGGTCCAAAAACCACCTTGTCAGAAACAACAGAAAAATCTACTCCGTCTAAATCAAGTAGCAATAAACCAATCATATTGTCAGAGAAAATAATCAAACCAGCCAACACCGTGCCTATGAAAAAACCCTTGAAAAGAACGTTCGAAGATATCGAGGATGTGGAGGCCCCGTTCTTTATAGCAAAGTCCAGTAAAAAATCAGTAGAATCCAACGAGGTTAATAAAGGTGCAATTAATAAAGGAGGAAAGGCGAAAATTTTGCAGCAAACAATTATAACCCCCGCCGGCCAAGTTATACAGCCGAAATTGAGTCAGATGCAAACGGACGATAACGTTTTCGACATAAACAACATGCCTATCGTGATGTCCGACGATATTTTTACCCCCGATAATATCGAATCGATGCCAGTCGTACTGGAAGACAAACCAAATACGACCAAAAACGTGTTAATTACAAATTCCATCAAGAAAACAGTCACTCAAACTAGAACCACGAATCCTCAACTATCGCCTGTGATTAAATCTCGAGCAAAGCCGTTAATAAAACAAGCTCCGCGAATTCTGCAGAATTCCACGCCGAGAATGATTAAGCAACATCAAGTGCTGCCGAGTTCCGCAAAACCAAACAGCAAGTACATCATAATGCCTCAAAGTTCCAATTCAGGCGGGTCACCGCAACTAACGCAAATCAAAACTGCGAAAAAGTCTGCGGTGATCAAACAGACGATACAGCCTGGAAAAACGTTTTCCCCCGTTTCCAGAACGCAAAATGTCATGCAAGAATCGACTGGAAACAAAATTATGATCGTCACTAATCAACAAGGCGAACAGCAGAGACTGCTGTTGACTCCGGCGCATCAAAAGTTGTTGGGAGTGCCGGGCGGTGCGGCGAAAATAACGAAACCTTTAATCAAAAATACTTACCTGCAGCAAAAATCGGGGACGGTGTGGACCCCCAACGCCGGCCCCAGCGCCACGAAAACAATCCGAGGCGCCACCAAGCTGATGAGTTCGCCTTCTAGTCAATTATCTGGCCAGTCAATCTCTGCGAACATGCAACCTCGCACGGTCAACAAAACAGTAATTGGAAATAAAATATACGTGAATAAAAATCAAAAGACCGTCCGACAAAAAACCATTCTTATTAAAAACCAACACGGACAAACCGTGAGAACTATTCAAGGCACGGACGATGAGCTTTTGGATAAACAGGTGGCCGAGCAATTGGAAGCTATTAAGGCGAAAGCGAGCGGTGCTTTGAGATTCCAGCAACAACAGCAAGCACAAAAACAGCATCAAAATCTTAAATCGACCATTAAAAAAACATTTTCAAAGCGAGTGAATGCGATAAAAGATCCTAAAACTTCACCGGCACCTAAATCCGACTCTGTCCCACCGCTAACCTTGATATCGCCAAAAAAGAACGAACCGGCCCTGCAACCGGAGGAAAAAACTGCAGCAGACACTGGCGATCGCGCGCCCAATCAGTTAGTAATACAAGACGCTTTAGGTAATCAAACGACTATAACCGAGGGCCAAATTCTGGCTCTTCCCAGCGAAACAGTCGATGGGCAGCCGCAATCCTACATGTTGGTAACACTGGACGAATCCGGAAATCTAACTCCGTTGAACAGCGAGGCCCTGATGTCTCTGGATCCGAACCTGTTGGGCGGCGGAGATCTCAGCAACATGGTGTTGCAAATTGATCAAGGTGGTTCGGAGACGAACCACGAAGGCACGATACAAACTCAGACGGCCGTGGTGAGTGCCACGGCAACGGAGAAGCCTACCACCAAAGTGTCGGTGCAAAAGGAGAGTTCTAAGCCCGCTCCTGTCAAGTATAATTCCAGCGTTGATGTTGAAACAACCACTACAGAGGTTAGCAAAGTAGCGGTAGACAGTGCAAATACTCTTGCTGTCGAGACTTCAGACACCGAAGCGCTGGGCGCGGAAGGTGGCCAACAGTTGATCTTGACCGGGGATCCAATAGCAACTCAAAAATTCCTCGAATCGCTGACGGAAGGCTCGACAGACCTCGCGAACATTTTGGCGAACGCTGAAGGCAGCAGCAGCATCATAATCCAAGCTGACGGTCAGCAAATACTGATCAACACGAATTCCGACAACCAAATGATGCTCTCGCTCAACAGCGATAACGTGGAGAGCTCCGAAACCGGCAATCCGATGTTCAACACGCAACAATCCACCAAAAGTCAGGACATTTTGGCGGCCGCTTTGGCCGACACCGACGTTTTTCAACCGGTTCAAACGACGTCGCGGAGCAAAATACACTCGCAATTGAGCCCCGGAAGTACTTCGCTGTACCCGATGAATGTCGGCACCGTTTTGGAAACCAGTTTAACGTTGAGCACACCCATAATGACGCCGCTCGAAGTTCCCAGCACGAACAGCAAAAAGATTGCGGACGAGGCCGACATTCTAGCGCAAGTACCAAAGAACCCGGCACTACCGATTACGATAACCGACCCGAATATATCGCAAACCGTAGCGCAACAGCAAGTTTTAGTTGCCAACGATTTGCAAGCGAATTTGGAATTGAATTTACCCATTTCCGAAGCAATAATATCGGCTACTTCGTCCGAAATGAGCAGTCCCTCGTTCGTGTACTCCTTGCCTACTTTGGACGAGATTAATCAAAAGCCTTTTAATAGTAGTATGCCTTTGTTGACTGAGGATGTGGAGGAAACAACGGAGGTTACGAGTGCTAAGGATATTAATGTAAAAGAAACTACAGTGCCTCCAGTAAGTGAAGAAACAATTACGACTGAAGATGAGACAGCCAAAAAAGATATGATGTCGACTGTAGATGGTTTTATTGAGGAGGAGGAAGGTTTGTGCACCCTTGGTGGGGAAATGTGCAGTTCCTTGAGCGAGCCACCCCCAGACATGTTCGACTTGCCTTCTACAACCTTTTTACCAGCCAACAGCAAAACTGACGATCACGCGGAAAATGATTCCCTTGTTGAATCAAATTCTCCTACAACCGTAACTAGCGAAGATTCTAACGAAATTCCGGTCCAAGCTGAAATTGTCACCGAATTGTCTTTGTCATCAGCAGATTCGAATAGTTCGTTGAAAAGAAGTAGTCCAGAAGAAGAGGACGGTAACCAAGAAAAAAAATGTAAATTTGACTGAACTAACTGATATGGTTGTATATAAAATTGTGTATAGGAGTATAGGTTTAACACAGAGACTACATTGACATTGTTTTAATATGTCATAATTTTGTAAATATTTCATTGTTATTATTTATGTACGAATGTGTACATAAAATGCTTTTTATTCAAATATTTTATATTTTAAATTATAATTTAATTTAGTACACTGTAAACATGATATATGATCTACATATAAAAAAACTAAAATAGGTGTAATAGATTAGATTCCATGTGTCATTTGTGTGATCCAAGGAGCTATAAAGGTACTGGACAAAATTTTCACCATTTAGATAAAATAAGATAGTTTCAATAAAATTTAAATTTTATCTATGTATAATTTTATTAAGAAAATAAATGTTTATTATTAATTTATCTTTTAATTTAATGTTCGTTTCCACAGTTCTTTCTTAATTATGCGTAAATTTTAATATTTATATATCTTTTTGAGGGTGTTTCATTACTGGTGACAAAATTAAATCATTTAATATTCTGTTATCAGTTATGAAACACCCTGTATATTTATCCTGCCAAATTCATTTTTAAACAAAAGCATTTAAAAAAAAATGTTTTAATTTTAAGTAAGTTTTTTAAGTCTATTCATTTAGAAGCAAAATTTAAAAAAAATATCGACGATATCGGAAAAATTAAAATATCGCTAACATATATATATCGGTACCGGTATCGGATGCACTCCTAATTAAAAATTATTTTAACCACCATAGAATCGCACGCCATATCAAAAACATTAGCATGCCATGATGCCACATTAGAACCTTTAGCTCGCCTCACAGTGGGCTGGAGAGCCAATTTATCGCGCAGAAATTATTTGGTTAATATTAATTTTTTTGGTCTTATTGATGAAATTTTAATAAAAATCACTTTCTACTACCAATATAAAAACAAAACCACAATATAATACTTTAACAACAAAAGTATATTTAAATATACAATTGTGTAATGGGAAAATTAAGATCTATAGTTTTAATGAGTAAATTAAAAAAATATAACTGAACATTTATAAAATAAAACCTAATTGTTACGTATGACAGTATTTTATAGAATAATGTTACTTCTGGCCTTTCAGAGTTTTTCTATATTTTTTGAAAAAAATTAAATTTTTGAATTAAGTTTTTTCCGAGATCCATTTATTTTTGTAAATGAATAGTCTACTAAGTAATTTAAAACCAACTTTCTATTAAAATGTTTCAAACAAAAAATATTTGTGGCGCCTACTAGCATTGATTTAAGATTTATTTAATAGACAGAACAGTAAGCTATTAAAAACACTTAACAGAGAGTGTGAGAATGCGTGACATTTTTTAAATCGTTAGTATTGTTCATACATACATAAAAAAATATGCAGCGCTTTCTTTATTGACGTAGGGATAGTACAATAATTATAAAAACTTACCATTATTTGTTGCAGCCATAACGTATGACTGTATTGAATAAAATGATGGTCAAAATTAAAAATAATTATTTATAATTTAAATTAGGAATTAACATTGAGAAGCAAAACCTTCACCCGCAATTTACCAGCACAAAGCAAGTAATTATGACTGATTACCTGACAAAAATTCAACAGATTTGAAGGTGATATAACATTATTTGATTTGCTACAGAAATTAAAGAATTCAAAATTCACTAAATTTTGTCGTAAGTAATATAAGGGCATCTAATTTTTCCGAAAAAAATCGAAAAAACACGTTGCTAAGTAATATTTTAACGAGAAGCATGAGTGGCAACAAAAATCCGAGTCGAAGAGGAGGATTTTTGCACCTGCACGAATGCATTTTGTTAAAAAATATGAAAAGAATCGGATCTTAATTAGGATCCCGAATCTTTGTAATAATGTCCCACTAGCGGAGCGCAGCCTCACGCTTCAGTTAAGGCTTGGTAACTAGTGGGTAGTTGAGTAAAACACAATAGTCTTGTTAATAATGACTTTAATTATAAAATTGTTTCCTTATATACAAATGGGATATTTTATTTTACATACTTATTTTACAAACATCTTAATGTTGTATTTTGTTATGTTATTGCTGACGCGGTTTGTTCGCTTAGATGACCGAAGTACGTCAATTAAATAATTATTGTTTAATTTTAAGATTAAACAAAATATTACTAAGCATTGTGTTTTTTCGATTTTTTTCACAGGAAAAATTAGATGCCCGAATGGTATTTGACAAGACTGTTTCATGAGTAACAGTTAACAATTAAAATATAAACTGCAATTTTTGGTGACAACAGCTGTCAAGTTTTGCCGCGGCTACACTCGAAAAAACTGCTGACAGGTGCTGTCACACAGTTTTTTCACCTAGAAACCATTTGTAATTCAAAATTGCGCGTTTGTGATTGGTGGGAATTAAGACGAGGGAAATAGTCGAAATAAAACACTTACTTACCTACTCATTTTAAATTTTCGCGCGCTGGAAGCCTACCGCGGTGGTGGCAAAAAGTATTAATATTTACTAATAGTATTTAGTAATTAATTCAAAATTATTTATTGTTATTAGTAGCTTTTTAATTGATGGTTTCGATCACCAATGTATGACAATATTTAATACAATGATATTTGTTCTGGGCTTCCAGCGTTTTTCCATATTAAAAAAAAATTAATTAAATTTATTTTCGAGATAAGATACTTCGAGATATTTCGAGAAACTTACATCTATTTTTGTAAATGCGTAGTCTACCAAGTTATTTAAAACTAATTTTATATTGAAATGCTTCAAACTAAAACACTTTTCACAAATGTAATTAGTTAGTTATAAGCAAAAAAAATAGTAATACATATCACCGCTGCTTAGGCAGGCTCGCTTATTATAAATACCGATAGGCTGCAGATATTCAGGAGACGTGCGTCTATAGAGATATCATATTTACCGACGTTTTCTTAAAAAAAAAAATTAACGTCTGCAAAATACAATCATTATCGCATGATCATCGCCGATGTTTCCTATTGATTAAGTAAAATACATCTGCATGCGACGTTTGGCCATAAGTCGGCCAACGTCTTAATGTTTGCTGGATTGAAGCTCATGAAAAGCTTCACCCCAACTTTGCGTTGTGCTGCCCCCTGCAGATTTAGGTTAAAACTCATTTTTTTAATTTTATTTTTCTCGAAAGTTTTAGAAACGTAAACAAAAAATTTAGCTGGCATTGTCATTGGTGAATGCTGCAGGACAGCCATACTCAAACTGCGGAAACTTAATTTTAAGATAAAAAAAATGCCCACATAATTTAAACCACTTTGTCTTACACAGAAGAGCTAAATAAAACTCAGTTTATTCTTAAAATAAATATATTAAAATTCATAAAACTATTACACTAGTTGTTTTGTAGATCATATGATTAAAATGGCTTGAATACTTTAATTTGGTAAAATATCACTTAAGGCAGTTAAACATATTTAAGACTGCTTATTTTTCTTATTGAATATGTTCATAAGATTTTTAGACATGAAGTATGGCCTTTCAGCCGATCCATCGTTTCTTTCACAGTCTTCCACTAAAAAATAAAAAGTACCTAAGTAATTAATAAATTAAAGGACCTTTCATAAATCCATGTTTCGTTTCGTTTTAATACTTACAGAAACATAAAAATAAGGTATCCACGGCCATGCTATAAACATTAAAAAATATGGACGAAATTAAATACGTAATAATCATTATCATGACTACTGGTACAAAACCGTACTGAATGTTAGAGTTGTCAATAGTCGTAAGATCAGTTACAAAACACACATATGCTAAGGCACCAACGCCAATTGTAATTAAAAGTTTGCTTAAAAAGAATAAAAAATCAGTCACCTAAAAATAAAATATTTTAGATACGGCTCTACACAACTTTTCTATTTTTTGCAATGTCTATAAATGAAAAAAACTCAAATATTACCTTATCTAAAATAAAAACTCGCACAATGTTCCTCATTAAAAGTAAAAAGGCATCCTTTGCGCTAGCGCAGAAATTTTTTCCATGTATCGCACACATAATGTAGGCATTTTTGTTGATGAACTTCAAAAACTTCTCGAGGCACCAGAAAAAACATTTCATGCAGCACAAAATCGCTTTGGTGAGTGGGTTGTCGTATTTTTTTAATTTGTGATCGATGTATTCCAGCATTACTCGAATCATGCGACAAATTGCCACCAATAAAGAGCCGAAAGCCAGGGTTCCAATATGATACCTATGAAAAATTTTATTTATTATCGAAATATTTCATGTCGAGTTTTAAAGTAGTATCTCTAAAAAAAATTAGATAAAATACCAAATACCTACTTTAGCTAAGGAAAGAATTTGAGAAATGTTATGTTAAATTTTTCTTACCTTAATGTTCTTAGAACGGAACTGGTGACAGCAAAAAATGGAAGGTTACGTTTTTTGAAAGTCCAATACCATTGAGCAAAAACTCCAGCCAATATCATCTGGGATAAAGCAGATACGAAAAAGGCAAGCCAGAAAAATCCAAATACGTTATAGGCTACAAAAAATAACAAATAATTTTAAAAATATTGCTGAGTTAAATGGGTTCGAAAGTACCTTGTGCATATTTGTAGTAAGCAGTAGTTTTGGTACCAATAAATTTACATATACAACCAGAGTTAGTATTATATCCTGGATTGCAAAATTGATCAACCTAAAAAATATACAATTAAAGATGGTGTCTGTAAGACTAGGAACCTACTACATAGTCCAAGACCAAGACCAAAGTTGCTTAGTTGGGGCGCTATATACGAGGTGTGTTCAGAAAATAACGGGAATTGTTAAATTTCGCGGGTTCGGAGGGTCCGGTTGTCATAAAATTTTCTTTATTATGTTGGAATACATGCCCCCGAAGTATGATAAAAACTTTAGCTGTTTTCATTGTTTACTTTGTCTGTGGCAGCCGCTAAGGTTAGACGTGTTTTATGAGCTCGGCGATTTTTCGTTCGTTAAAAGAAATGGATCAAAGAATTTGCTTAAAAAATGAAACAAATTCTGTGAAATGTTAACAAAGGCCTATTATAGGCCGCCTATAGTGAGTCTGCTATAAGTAAAACAAGAGTTTACAAGTGGTATAAGAGTTTCCAAGATGGCCGTGAAGACGTTGAAGATGACGAACGCCTCGAACGCACAAGCACATTAACAACCGATAAAAACATGGAAAAAGTGGAAGAAATGGTTATAAACCATCAGAGAAGTCGCTGATGATGTTGGTATATTGATTGGCTCATCCCATGAAATTTTTTCGAATGTTTTGGGTATGAAACGCGTGGCAGCCCAATTTTTTTCTAAAATTGTTAAATTTTGAACAAAATTTTTGGCCAAAAACAATATATTGTATACTGTAATGATGCCCCACCCTCCATATTCGCCAGACATGCCTCTGTCTTACTTTTTTCTATTACCAAAAATAAAGAGAACCTTAAAGGGCCGTCGTTTTGCAAGCATAGATGACATTAAAAGCGCATCGCTGAAAGAACTAAAGGCTATCCCAAAGGTCGAGTTTTAGAAGTGTTTCGAGTATTGGAAGAAGAGCTGGCATAATATCCAATGGGGACTATTTTGAAGGCAACAATATTAATGCATTAATATTGTTGCTACATGTAGACGAATAAATAAATATTTTTTTCAAAAAACGAAAGCTTCCGATATTTTCTGAACACACCTCGTATATAGTATCGATATAGTATATATATTATAATAATAATTGTTTTTACATCCGACACTGAAAAATTGGTTCTTAGGCACTTCTACTAAGTGCTCACCAAATTTGAGCTCTTAATATTAACAGGAAGATCCTTCTCATCACAGTTTTCCAATTTTTCTTTAGTCCCGGGACTATAAGGCCTTATAAAAAATACCAAAAATAATTATTAGTCAATCGTTTAATCAAACCTTTATGCATATTTTTGTAGTAAATTGAATGCTCTTCAAACTCTAGAGCACTTTCTAGATAGAGATCCTAAGAACCAATTTTTCAGTGTCGAAAGTGAAAGTAAAAAAAAAAGAATATACGTTTAAATTCTGACTGAGCAGGACGTTAATTAATGAATTTTTTTCAGACAAAAGATATATTTTAAAAGGAGATAAATTTATAAAACAAAGTACCTAATCAAAAATATTATACGTATTGTATGTAATTGTATGTAGAAAACAAAATTATGCAATGAATTTAAAAAACCGAAAAAATGGAAATGGAAAAAAAAGTTCTCAATTATTTCGTTTAAAATCTTGGTAGTTTAAAGACTCGAAAAAAATCGTGCATTTATTCATAAATAACATAAAATATGCTCCTTTTGTTCACATGTGTGATTTTTAAATTTTCAAATACAATTTCAATCTTTTCCAGAAAAGACAATTTTTTGAAGGCCTTGGGAAAAAATTTTCCCCCCAATTTTTCCGGTTAACGAATTGATGTCAAGAATCCTCTAAAGCGGAATCGCGAATACCTACCACATTGCACTTATCAACTCCTGTATCGTTATCCAAGGTTCTATATTTATAAATAGGCTCACCGGTTGTTGCCAGGTATAAACAAACAACAAGTGCATATGCTATAACTCCAATTTGCAAGATCCACGGTACTATCGGGAAAACTAGCACCGATGTTACCGAACTTACAGCTCTAAAAAATAAATATTTTAAATAAACTAAACATTTGACAGTTACTATATAAAATGAAATTAAATTATTTTATTATATAATTAAGAAAAGTTGACATATTTTAAATTGTATTGTATAGATATATCATTTTTTATATTTTAAAACATTTTTTTTGTTTTTAAAACGTTTTTTGAAACTGTACAGTTGTTGACAATTTAACAGCAAAATTTAGTTTTGTAAAAAATGTTTTCTTTTAAATTTGCGTTACAATACGTACAGGTTGTTTAAAAAATGATGCACTTTTTATAAAAAACAATTAATTAAAGGAAAACAATTTAAATAAAATCTGTCTTACTTGCTGCCTTCTTTTATAAGCGCAATGGCTAAAACGATCCTTTTTCTTAAAAACAAAATCACAAGTAAAACAATCGCTAATATCACAGAACAAATAACGAGACTAGCCATATACAATCTTTTTTTTGTCTCGTTTTCCTTCAAACTGGGAATCCTCTTCCATTCGTGATGTGAGAAATAAACTCCTAAAAATTTGTTTTTAAGTGTAACATATTTTTTGTATATAATAATATTTACCCGCTACTAGTAAGGCTATAACTCCCAATATCGATAGCCACACCATTATTCCGGCAATAAATCTTAACATGAAAATGTATAAAAGACAAACAAAAACTGCCACTCCAATTCCAATAAGAATTTTCCACCATGAATTAATTACATCTTTAACGATCACTTGACCAACCTTAAAAACATTATTTTTAAATAAATTTTTAATTTTTCTTGAAATAACTGTAAAATTACATAAAATAGCAAAATTGTTTTTTATTTGGACACATTCAATAGTAAGTATTTATATTTAAAAAACTTTTTATTTTAAATTTTAAGGTCTTTTTATGAATTATATTTACCATAAAATGTTGTCAAAATAAAAGAACGAACTTTTTAAGTAAGGATTATTTTACGCAAAACCAAACCATTTATGCTTAGCAAACAAATTATCTACAAAAACACTATTTTGTTGCTTTTTAAAATACAACAAAAATTACAAATGTTCAGAAAATCTCGCACAGCCTTAAAAAAATAGCTTTTGTTTTTATGATGTTTTATTTAATTTTCTCGTTTTTAGAGAAAATTTAAGAAAAAACTTTATTTGAAAGTTTTTAAGCTTGGTCCTATCGTGGGCCAACTATATTTTCTATTCTATAGGATTTTTAAATTTTCAATTTTTTTTTAATGCCCTAATTAGTTTAGAAATGCACTAGTTTTTATTTTTTCAACAGTCTCCTGATACTTAATAAACATGTATGAATGTACAGGGTGATCCCCTATAATGTCGCCCCCCTTTAACGTTTTTATTTTAAGTGTCCCAAAAAATTTAAAAGTGTGGTTATGTAGGTACTAAAAAATACTTTTTTTCTACGTATTAAAAAAAATTAAAAATTTATCAATATACAGGGAAAAACATTTTTTTTCAATGGATCACCCTATATATGAATTTATTTTTCGATTCCTTGTAAAATTCTGAGCATAATTCATATAAAAACCATATCGTAAATTCAACTGTTAAATATTCGCATTTGAAATGTTATCATTAAATGGTTTTTTAACCTGTTAGAAATCAAGAAGCCTCAGTATACCAAAATTTTTCTTGAAAATAAATTATTATAGTGACATTTTGTCAATATGTCTTGTTAAATAAGTAAAAATGGCGTACGACGTAAGACAAACTATAGACCAGTGCCGAAGCCTTTAAAAATGGTAAAAAGTGAAAAAAATTACAGTAGGATGAAACCCATTGGAAAAGGAGGAGAATATAATAAAAAAGAAAGAAAAAATAAATTACGGGCGATCTGACTTCGGGAAGTGGGAGGGGGGGGGTTTAAGGGTAAAAAATGGTTTATCTCGATTTCCGGCAAAAATACAAGTCCTATGGAAAAAAGTTAAATGGCAAAGTTGTAGGTAATAAAAAGATCTACAACTTTTGTATTTACAATTTTTTCACATAACCTCAAAATTTATGTGAAAAATTCAAATAACCAAGTTTTTGGTTTTTATTTTTATCTTTTTCGAAAAAAATTTTTTTTCCAAATTTGGTGAAAACTTACCTTTTTATGTCCCAAATACACTGTAATTTATTTGATTTGAAATATTTATTATTTCGCCTTATTTTGACTTAATATCAAAAAAGCACCCTAATTTTCAATCGAAAATTCTCGCGTCAAAATATCAGCTTTTTTCAAAAAGTCGGTGTGCTTTTTGTTCGATGAACTCTCTACTTTCTGATGGTGTAAAAAAAATATACATTACTAGGTATGGTAAATGTTCTCAGAAAATACAAAAAATATTATAATGAATAACGTAATCAGAATGAAGTATCTAAATTCAATAGTATGATTTGCATGTATTTTTATATTTTATGAGATTTTCTGACATAAATGTTATTAGAATTTAATAAATAAACTTTTTAACTAAACTGCAACAATCACATTTTTTTGATGAAATTGTACATGATTAAAATAAATTTTCGTATTCGAGTTTTTTTCGTATTCGTATTTATTCGTATTTTTGCCGGAAATCGAGATAAACCATTTTTTTACCCTTAAAGCCCCCCCCCTCCCACTTCCCGAAGTCAGATCGAATTTTTTTTGTTTCAAAAATTATCGACCCTGGTCTACTATTTCAACTTCTTAAAATTAATAATTTAAATATTTCAGAAACGGTTGAATTTAGGTATATGGTATGTTATATGAAATATGCTTAGAATTTTACAAGGAATTGAAAAATAAATACATAGATAGGGTGATCCATTGAAAAAAAATAAACTTTTTGTTTTTCCCTCTATACGCAGAAACAAAGTATTTTTTAGTGCCTACATAACCATACTTTGAAATTTTTCCGGACACTTAAAATAAAAAAGTTAAAGGGGGGCGACATTATAGGGGATCACCCTGTACATTGTTTAAGAGAAAAAATAAATATAATTTCTAATACATATGTATTATATAACTCTTTCTTAATTGTGCGTTAAAATATTTTTAAAGGAATATTCTTTTTTAACAAGTCTTGGTAAATTTTAAAAATCTAACAATTTTTTTTAGAAAAAACAGTTGGCCCACGATAGAACTGAATTTAAAAACTTTTAATTTAAGTCTTTTTTGAAAATTAAAAAAAAATCCAAGGACCCACGCATCCTTAAAAATTCTTCTTTAACAATTTTAAAAATCTAAAAAAAATTAGAAAAACAGTTGGCCCACGATGGAACCGAACTTAAAAACTTTTAAATTAATTCAAGTTTATTTAAAAATTAAAAAAAATTCGAAGTAACTACCCATAAGAGAAGAATTTATTTCAATTTTTTTTTCGAAAGCCATGAATAATTTGAAAAATGTCTAAATCAATCAATTTTATACAAAGTTATGGACGCTTAAAAACTCATTTGTAAGTAAATTTGGTTAAATTTTGTCAAAAAAAAAGGTTAATGCGCCGACATAATTAATTAATTTTACTTTTAAGAAACCTACCTATTATAAAATAAAAACCTTTTTGAATGAATTAAAATACAAATTATTTACGCTACTTAACTAAAATGATTCCTCAAATAATTTAAAACTATCGATTGTTTGCTAAATTTACCTAATAGAAATAAGAAACTATTTGTTTACTCAATTAATAATCTATTTCGTTCTACACGCAAGTTTAGAAAGAAGGCTGAAAAATGTATTAATAAAGCAAATAGAGACAAAGTTTAAAAAAGCATAAGCAACAGTAATAAAGTTATAAATAAGAAATAAAGATATTTCAATGTTTATTAAGCCATAGCCACTCCAAATGAAATCACCAAAAATAAATAAAAATTGTTTCTCCACGTTCAAGATTGTAAAAGAAAATTGTCTCTTTTTTTCACGACCATCAGAATTAATCAGTGTGAATATGATGAATATACAGGGTGTTAGTTATTTCTATTTGTTTTTTATAATTTTTATTTTAGTATTTTAAAAACAATGTGGGGGAGCTCATAATATGATCAAATACTACTTTTTTTAACACCCTGTATAAGATATTGCAAGCGGATTTTATTGTTAATATTTGCTTTTTTATTTACTTGGAAAAAACTGTTTAAACCATTAAATATTCATAAAGAAAACAATTTTAAAACGCTGAAAGAAATTACTATAAAATACGAGGGCGGGCTGAAAAGAATTGGCCAGGCCACAAATCATCTTTTTTTTTGTCAAAATTCGATTTATTTCTCAAGAAAGTTCCCTTTATGGGTATACCCTCCGAATATTAAGATTGTTTCGCAAAAATATAAACGTTGTTTGCATTTAATTAATGTCATGCATAAACTAAATGGTGTAAATTTAACAAAAAAAATTTTAAGCAAAATATAAAATAGGCTGGCTTTGTTGATCTCATATTGAATGACTATATTAAAATATCTTTTGCTATTAGTAAATATGTAAAGGTTTAACTTTTATAAAAACTGTTAAATTTTAATTGGAAACAATTGAAGCAGAGAATTGCAGAACTTACGCTGGCGGACTTTAATGAAAAAAAGTGTGCTACAAACTTGAATCGTAAAAGTTGTTAAGTACTTTTTAGAAAGGCACATTTTTTAATTCGGCATTTTAATTTTTATTTTACATGCTTCAGACGTTGGTTCTGCAATTTTGCAAATAATAATTTAACATACTAAAACACTACAGAATAAAAAATCCAAAAGTTTAAACATTTTTAAAAGAACCCAGTTAAATTCTAAAAATCATGCTGACAAATATTCAAACTGCCCCTATAACTAAACAAAAAATTGAATATTAAACAAAAATGAACACACAAAGCCAAAACGTTTTTATTTTAATTAGCAAACAATTTTTACACGCTTTGGCAAAATCCAAGTCCAAAAAACTCCTACCTGTTCCGCGTCAGAAAAAGCTTTGATTTGTTTAATGGCTTTGGTTAATTTTTCATAAGTAAACCCTACTCCTTGTAACTGGTCAAGATCATTTTGGGTTACCCCAAAAGGAATACACCGATATTCAACTGTAATAAATTTAGAAAATAGGTATATTTTTAGGTGAGGGGTCAGTAAGCGATTTGCAAAGCTGTGGGAATGATTAGGTAGGCACTTAATTGTTTGTATAAGCGGTTATTACTGAAGTTGAAGTTGGAAAGTCGAAAATCCAAGATCCAATTTTTGTATCCGTCTTTGTTTTGGCTTAATACACATTTTTTAGGAATGCTTTAATAATATGCAGAAAAAAAACGAATGACAGAAATGTTTGTCAGAAAAAATTTAAACATATTACATAAAAAAGAGCATTTTATATCAAAAACAAAGTTTTCCTGCAATTTGTTAAAATATCGGTTATTTTTTAAATTTTCATTTAAAAACAATAATTTGTTAGTATTAATCAGACACAACGCTTGCCCTGGTAAAAATAGTTATTTTAAATAACATATTTATGTATCAAGGCAGTAAAGTCGTATTTTTTATCATGAATGTGGAAATTATTTGCCGAGGCGAAAGCCGAGGCAAATAACCACGTGAGTGATCAAAAAATGACTTTAATGCCGATGTGCATATTAAATTTAATCCGAAATCAAATTTAATAATACTAATAATTAATATTGATGATTAAATCAAGTATCATTTGATGATCAAATCAAATGTCATTTGAATGTAGGAAGTGTCTATACTGTTTGTTGCGACGGTTATTATATATTTGCCCGCCGCGGCGATTT